CCCCCTTCCCCTCCCCCTTTTCTGATGAAGGGTCTAGGCCCGAAACATCAGCCTCTCTGCTCCTATGATGCTGCTTGGCCTGCTGTGTTCATCCAGCCCTGCACCTTGTTGTCTAGGTTTTAGTGAGTGCTTTAAAAGGAGGCAGAGAGGAGCAGGGAGGGAATTCCTCACCTCAGGAGCCTGGCATCGGAAGGTGAAGGAGTTAAATTTGGGACTGCTCAGGGAGCCAGTTGGGCTGTGGCTTGGAGGAGGCTCCAGAGAAAAGTGAGGCCCTGAAGTGATTGACAAGTAGATCAGCGAGCACCTGGAGTGGGGGGGGATTGGGGGGGAGCGTGGAGAGTGGGATTTTGTGAGAGTTAAGACACAGCCGCAGCAGAGGTTGGGACGAAAGTTCCATTCATAGAAGGTGGTCAAGTCTAAAGGTGACAAAGGTTTCAGAGGGTTATTTTATTTTAATAATTTTTTAAAAATGAATAATTATGAATTATTAGCTCTGCCTTCACTGTTGTTAAGCACTTCGTTTCTACTCAGAACCTCCTCCATTCCAGTAGGGATGGAAAAGATCTTCAGCCTTGCCTCACACAATTCTCAATCGTATCCCAATGGAATCCCACATTCCCCATCCCATCCGCAAGCAGACTGTCCTGATAATTCTCCCAGCAATGTGATACAGTCTGAGAGGGTGGTGTAAATAAATATGCATTGGACAGCACAAGTTGGCACAATGTTTACAGAATGCCCTTTATAATGGGACCTCAAATAGGAACCTTTCTCCTCTCAAATATTATTTTCCTTTAAAGGTAAAACTGCGTCTGCTGAATCTCACCCAGGCAATGGCTGAAGACATTGGCTTCAGTCCCTCTGTAATAGAAAGGAGCTGCAGAAAGAAATTGTTGGACAGGTTTTAGGGTATGAAATGCAAGACCACCATGGCTGGAATTATAGTGCACAAAGCGAGGTTATAAGAACCTCATACTGTTACTAGATTTTTGAAATTCTCTCTCCTCGTGCTCTTGGTCCAAATGTCCAAGAGTTTATTCAATTCCTTTGAGAACGTCACTGTTCAATCCACATCCATTGCCTTTCAGGAAATGTATTCCACAACATGACTGCGCAAAACAAAATTCCCATCTTCCATAGAATTACAGAATGGTAAAAGCACAAAAGGAGGCCATTCAGCTCATTCTCAGATGGAGCTAGTCACACTCACCTGCCTTTTATTCCAATGGATTTTTAACTTTGCTTTATCAAACACAAATTAACTTAAACTACCTCCAAACTATCTCCTCCGGTTAGATATTTTCCAATCAACCTGTTTAAAGTTGTATGGCATACCTCTGAAGCAGATGGGACTTGAACCCAGGCCTTCTAGTCCAGAGGTAGGGGCACTACCACCGTGCAACAGCTCTCCTTTTCTGGTGATTTTATATTCATATACAGAAGTGCTCGAACGCACAACTCAACATTTTTTTTGTCCCCATCACCAAATCACCCATGGCATTTTTCCTCTATTGACCACCACCAGTAAATCATCTGTGTTTTCCAACTGATTAATTTAGGTGCAAAGCCTGTTATGGGCAATGCAGACCATCAAAGGTGAGGGAGAGGTAGGGAGCTAAATCAAAAATGGAGTTTGGGGGGGTAGATAAAGCACTCTATCCCCTGTGGTACCCACCTCTCTCTAAAAGAACAAACTGAGGCCAAAACAGCAGCCAGAAAGTTTTGAAGTTTGGACCGTCAGAATGGAAATCTGATGCTCGAATGACTGAGCTACCCAGCCTCTAAAAATTGTCCTCAAATCTTCCAGCAGCTCAGTTTTTTTTTAAGAAACCAACATATTCAGAGATATTATTACATACCTTACAGCAGGTGGGACTTGAACCTGGGTTTCTCAGTCCAGGGAGTATGGACACTGCACCACAAGAACCTTCCTTCAATGGTTACTGACCCTGCTATCATTGGAAGCACTCCTTCATGACTTAAACACTGCTCAAATACCCTCTTTAACCTTCTCTACTCTGCTCTAAGAAGAAAATCTCCAACTTCTGCAGTGATCGCTACATAATTGAAGTCTATCAGGTTTGGTTCCATTCTATTAAGTCTTCTCTGCCCACTCTCTAAAGCTGCGACATCCTGCCTAAAGTACTGTGCTGAGAACTGAACCCAAAACTGAAGCTGAGGTCTAACCTGTGATTTACAACTGTCCATCCCTTTTACATGTGAAGAGGAATTTGCTGGCGGGATTCTGAAATGTGTCTCTCATTCGATCTTTAACCGGCTGAAATAGTTTGAAGAACCGTCCCAGATTTATCAGCTCTGTGGCGATTATTCAAATCTATAAACCCTCTCGCCTATCTTCTTTCAAATCTTACTTGGGGCAGCAGTGTGGGATCGTTCTGCAACAGAAGCTGACGCAATTCTTTGATGTCCAGATTGCGAAGTCCATTCTGACTCAAGATTGCACCATTGTGGACGGACAGGATGTCATGAGAATTTGTGCAGATTTTCCTGAAACAAATGAAGGATGTTCAGAAAACATACAATAACCCAACTGGTTTAATAAGGTTGGAATAAGAAGTGGAGTCACAGCAGGAGGCCTGCAATACACTTCTGTTTTAAAAATTCAGTCACAAGAGTGGGCATCGCAGGCAAAGCCAGCATTTGTTGCCTATCCCTTCTTGCCCTTGAACTGACTGGATTGCTATCTGTGGGTGAGAGAGAGGGGGTCTGTAGTTTGAAAGCATTGACAGTCAGAAATACAGCGCAGCCTCAACCCAGGAGAGGTTCAAATAAAAAGGTGTCAGGATAAACCTGGTTACCAAAAACTGGTCAACATAACCTCAATGGTGAGAAAACTTTTAGAAACTAAAATCTGGGAGAAAATTGACATTTTCCTTGGATTAGATTAAGGAAAGTCACCATGGATTTTCTAAAAGCCAACAACGGCAAATCAACACCATAGTGCTTTTTCTGGTGGGGCAACAGAAAAGGATTAATGAGGGTAATCGGATTAATTGGATTTCTCTGGACTTCCAATGGACATTTGATAAAGTGCCACATGTCAGACATGCCAGCAAAGTTGACACGTCACAGAGAAAGGTAGTGGGGCCGCGGATAAGAAGTCAGATTGAGTGACTGAGAAAAATACGTATTGGTGGAAGGATTACAGTTGTGCGCTTGTCCTGATGCATATTAATAACAGACCAGTGTCGTTCGCAGAAATTGGCAATTAATCACTGGTGTGGCACAGTCTAAGCCCCTATTTATTCTCATCAAGTATTTTACATACCTTCACACAACAGCGAAATGTATTTCACATGCAGATATATTTTGAAACATTTACCTCTACTCAGTAACCAAAGACATGATACACAATGATTGAAAGCAGCACTTGCAGACTCTGCTGTTCATCTCACTATTTTAATAACGAGTGCACAAAAAGATTACAGTTCACGTCAACAGAAGAGTTGAGGTCACATGCCCAACCACAGGGCTAATGACACAATTTTGATGGCCCAGTATTAATCAGAAATGGGAAAGGGTCTTGAGTTGCAGAGAGCAGTTCCCCGGCCTCAAGGCTCGAGTCCCCACTTGAATGTGGACTCAGTGAAGGTGCATTCTAAACAGTTGGTCAGCCTGTAAGTGCTTCCCATCCACCTACGGTAGGCAGGAAGAGAGGGAGAGATTCCTCAGGACCTGTGCATGGACAGGCGTTCAGTCAAGCTGCAGGCCCCTGGCAACCTGTTCCAGGAAAAACAACGGAAACAGATGGTAGCATGTGTTCCATCTACCTCATGCATCGCGGCAAGCTGAACGAGAATCAGAAATGCAGCGAGTCACGTCCGGGTTAAGAGCGTTAAGAAACATGGCCTATTCGTGTTCCCTCGGCCCTTGCGCCTGCTTCGCCATTCAATAGGATCATGGCTATTCTGTACTTAGTTAGATACGTGGAGATAGTAATTGATACTTGGGACAATTTTGACAGACTTGGGGCATACGGGGTTCCAACACTTGGGGATGACAAACCTGGAAATATTGTGAACTGTGAGGAGGTTAGTCATTGATTTCAAGAAGATGTAGGCAGGTGGACACAGGGAATTGTGAATTTATACATTTTCATAACAAGAATGAGGCAGCGCAGTATAAAATACAAGAAAGGGCGCAGTTTTAAAATGAGGACAGGGACTGACGGTCCTGGCATCACATGCGCACAAATCATTGAAGGTGACAGGGCAGGATGAGAAAGCAGCTAATAAGAGACAAGAGATTTTGAGGCTTATAGCGAGAGGTATGGAGTACACAAAGGCAAGGAACTTATGACGAACATTTACAAAACACCAGTTGAGCTTCAACTGGAGTATTGTGTCCAATTCAAACTGTTGAAAAGATGCGAAAGATCTTGTAGACTTCAGGTGGATTGAAGAAGCTGGAGTTGTTCTCTTCAAAAGGAAGGTTGAGGGCAGATTTGATAGAGATGTTCAAAATTCACAAGGAATCCACATGCAGTTGACAGGGTAAAATTATTCTCATCGGTGGGAATGCTGACAGTCGGAGGGAGAAGATTTTAAAAGGGGAGTTGCAAAAGAACCGTGGGTGCCAGGAGGCAAATTTCACACAGGGTTTGGAATGCACTGTCTGAGAGTGTGCTGGATGCTGATTTAATTAGTTTTCCATGGGTTTGGATAAGAACCTAAAAGGGAACAGCGCAGGGAAATGGAATGAGCCAGAGTGCTTTTTGCAGTGAGTTAGCACAGATTCAACAGCCTCCTGCTGCACTGTAAATAATCTACAATGCATTAAATTCTGGCTTTGCCTACAGCTCAACAATAAACGACAAGAACTCCACCCAATGTCTGCGTGCCACATTCCACATTAGGGTGTATTTGGATCTTTGGTCTACAGAAACCAGTTTAAAAGCGTAAACAGCAGCCGCCGACTCTGAAAGTTAGAGAGCTGAGAATGACAATGTGGCGTCGTGCAGACCAAGTTTTACAGCGGCTGGGCATAACTGTTCTTCAGCAAGAAGAGTTCACGCTCACTCACTTGGTTTTAGCTGCTCTGCAGTCGTCGTACACAAAGCGTCGGCAGAGGTGCAGTTTGCTGCAGCCCTCACAGTCCTTCTTCGGGTAGTTCTTGCACATTCTGACTGAGGTGACTGCAATGACCCGACTGCCCGGAGTCATACTGGTACCTGCTGCTCCCAAGCCTTTCACCACAGCAAAGTGTTGAGTGTTGTACAGGACCTGGTTCACGTCCGCCCCTGAAGTACCAAAACGACTGGCAACTTTCTCCAGAACAGTGTTATAATCCAACGAGCCCTGGTTGGAACAGAGGGTCTTGAGGATAAACTCTGTGACAGCCGGCTGTGACATTCCTCCCCCGTGCATTTTGTTTGCCTGCCGTACCAAACAGAGGCAAGTTTATCAAATGATTTTGGGTGACATAGGAAACTGAGAAACGAAACTGAAACCAGAAATTCTACTGGCTGGCTGTTAGCAGTTGTCTTTAACCCATGATCTTGAGTCATGACATTTAAAAAACCCTCAAGTTATTCAATTTTCCTTAAATTTCTGATGGAACTAACCGATGCAGTGGCAGGGACCGTTACCACTTCTGAGACTGACTAGTTGTGCCGGCTATTCGACTGCGGTGGCACCACAGCCTTACCTGTTCAGCTGCGCCCTAAATTTAAAATTTGCATTTTTGTGTTCCAATCTCTCCGCGTCTGTGACCTCCGCCAGCCCTATAGCACTCACCAGCGTTTTTTTCCCCCCAAATCCAAGGTCGCGGTACGTTCCCATTTCTATTGCACGCGGTTGATCGCCTTACCTTCAGTTACTCGTCCCTCAAGCTCCGGCATTCTCTTCCTCATTGCCCTCGATAATGTTGCTGTGAGGCACCTTAAGGCATTTTATGTTGAGGATGCTATATAAATGCACACCCTCATTGTTGGCTCGGTTTTGCAACTGAACAGCATAGTAATACAGAGATAGTAGGAACTGCAGATGCTGGAGAATCTGAGATAACAAGGTGCAGGGCTGGATGAACACAGCAGGCCAAGCAGCATCATAGGAGCAGGAAAGCTGACATTTCGGGCCTAGACCCTTCTTCAGAAATGGAGGAGGGGAAGGGGAAGGGGATTCTGAAATGAACAGAGAGATGTCCTCGTTTTTCAAGGACCGCAACTACCCCCTCCCCCCCACCCCGTGGTCGAAAACGCCCTCGACCATGTCTCCCGCATTTCCCGCAACTCATCCCTCACACCTCCTCCCCGCAATAACAACCAAAACAGAATCCCCCTCGTCCTCACGTACCACCCCACCAACCTCCGGATCCAACGCATCATCCTCCGACACTTCCGCCATCTGCAATCCGACCCCACCACCAAAGACATCTTTCCCTCCCCACCCTTATCTGCTTTCCGGAGGGACCACTCTCTCCATGACTCCCTCGTCCGCTCCACACTCCCCTCCAGCTCCACCACACCCGGCACTTTTCCCTGCAACCGCAGGAAGTGCTACACCTGCCCCCATACCTCCTCCCTCACCCCCATCCCAGGCCCCAGGAACAACTTCCACATTAAACAGACGTTCACCTGCGCATCTGCTAATGTGGTATACTGTATCCGCTGTGGCCTCCTCTATATCGGGGAAACCAAGCAGAGGCTAAGAGACCACTTTGTGGAACACTTACGCTCGGTTCGCGACAAACTACTGCACCTCCCAGTCGCGAACCACTTCAACTCCCTGTCCCACTCCTTGGCCAACATGTGCATCCTGGGCCTCCTCCAGTGCCACAACGATGCCACCCGAAGGTTGCAGGAACAGCAACTCATATTTTGCTTGGGAACCCTCTAGCCCAATGGTATCAATGTGGGACAACAAGGTGCAGGGCTGGATGAACACAGCAGGCCAAGCAGCATCATAGGGGCAGAGAGGCTGACGTTTCGGGCCTAGACCCTTCATCCAGCCCTGCACCTTGTTGTCTCGGATTCTCCAGCATCTGCAGTTCCTACTATCTCGGTATCAATGTGGACTTCACAAGCTTCAAAATCTCCCCACCCCCACCTCATCCCAAAACCAGCCCATCCCCACCTCCTTGACCTGTCCAGCTTTTCTCCCATCTCTCCGCTCCTCTCACCTCAACACCCACCCCCACCTCCTACCTACTAATCTCATCCCCACCTCCTTGACTGACCAACCCCCATCCTAACTCCCCACCTACACTCACCTTTACTGGCCCTATCACTGCTTCCTTGACCTGTCCATCTCCTCTCCACCTATCTGCTCCTTTATTCACCTTCCATCCACCTCCCCCTCTCTCCCTATTTATTTCTGAATCCCCTTCCCCTCCCCCATTTTTGAAGAAGGGTCCAGACCCGAAACGGCAGCTTTCCTGCTCCTCTGATGCTGCTTGGGCCTGCTGTGTTCATCCAGCTCTACACCTTGTTAGCATAGTAATACATATTGTTTCCCTTCAATTCTTAAGTAGAATTGATGCAATGTGTACTAAATGTATCTGAAGCAACAGATTGCTGAGTTAAATTGAAAAGCAACAGGCCTGTACCTTGGCATTCCTCATATGACACAAAAACCATGGTACGGTATTTTTGGAAGGGGAGGGGATGGAGAAAGCGAAGCACACTTCAGCAGGTCACCATGAAATGCAGCTCAGTACTTTTGCTGGGTAGCAAGCTCAAACAGTGCCTCTTTTAGCTCTCACATCTGAGCTAGGTGCTTTCGGGTTCAAGCGCCTGATCGCAAAAATCCACTAGGGTACCGAGGAAGTCTTTCAGATAAAACATGAGCTGAAGACCCAACTACGTGTCTGGAAAATATCCTATTGCACTATTTGGAAGTACAGCAGGGGAAGTTATCCCCAGTATTCAGCCCTTGATGAACATCTCACACACATACAAAACAAAAAGCACACATTTTGGGCATTATCGTGGTGTTCTGGCTGCTGTGTTTCTGTTTTGAAGTGGACTTCCTGATACAATGCAAAGTCAAAACGAGAAACGTGACAGTTGGGGGGACACGTTGAGACATCCAGCAGTCTTGAAAAGCGTTAGTTAAGCGTATCCTTGAAAGAATGAGTTCAGTTTTCCTCAAGACAAACTGATGGAATGGAATGACATGACATGACTCACCTACCGTGCCCACAATTTGAGAAACAAGATGGGTTTGTATTTCAATGATGCCTTTCACAGCCCTTAGCAAAGTCATTTTTCAGCCATTTCTTTGGGAGAGGAGCTGTTGTAATGTGTATGTGCTTCAAGGCAACAAGAGATTGAAAGGCACTATATAAAAGCAAGTCTTTCCATTGACAATACAGGATGAGACAGCAGAGATTGGGGGGCGGGGCAGGGGGGGTGGAGAGCAACATTTGGAAGAAGCAATTTTATCCATCATGAGTCACAAAAACAGTGCAAATGCTCAGGATAAGACAACCTTCAAATACCTGTACTTTCCCAGTACTGTAGATGGTACTATTGCACAAGGTTTAAATGGCACTCCACCTAATTGGCCTTCAATAGCAATACAGATCTTCCAAAGAGCAGGCCCTCATTCCTCTAGGATTGTGGTATAGGTTCAAGTTATTTACAGCACAGGAGGCAGCCATTCAGCCCATTATGTCTATGCTATTCAACATGGATCTAACTACACTAATCCCATTTTCCAGATTGTGGCCCATAGCTCTGGAAGCTGTGATGCAAATATTTAAATGCTGCTAAAATATTCCTCATTCATGTTTCAGAACTCAATACATCGACTTTTCTTTGGAACCAACAAAAGTTAGCCAAGGTTCAAAACATGTTTTGCTTTCCAGAATGCTGTCTGATCTGTTGAGTATTTCCAGTGTTGTTATTATTTAAGGTTTTAATAGCTGCAGTGTTTTACTTTTGTAGATATTTTCTAAACAACCTGTTCAGGGATGTTATTAAATACCTCTGGAGCAGGTGGGATGTGAACCTGGGCCTTCTGGCTTCGAGATAGGGACACAAAAGCCCCATTGTGTTGCAGTAGGCAAGTCCAGCTACTGACCTTTCACCAAAGCTTAAAAATTTGTGCAGCACAGTGGTTAGCACTGCTGCCTCAGTGCCAGGGATCTGGGTTCGATTCGACCCACGGGTGACTGTCTGTGGAACGTGTACATTCTCCATGTCTCCTCCCACAATCCAAAGACATGCAGGTTAGGTTTTTCTGAAGAAGGGTCTCGACCCAAAACATCAGTTTTCCTGCTCTTCTGATGCTGCTTGGCCTGCTGTGTTCATCCAGCTCTGCATCTTGTTATCTCAGGTTAGGTGGTATGGCTGTGCTAAATTGCCCAATAGCATCCAGGGGTGTGCAGGCTAGGTGGTTTGGCAGTGGGAAATGCAGGGGAAAGGGTGGTGTGGTAGGGGGGGGGGGTGGGTAGGTCTGGGTGGGATGCTTTTCAGAGGGTCAGCCTGCTCCCACACTGTAGGGATTCAAACATTCTGGTCAGCATTAATAAAGGGATCCAACATAGCCCATAAATGAAAGCCAGGAGAGGAGATAGGAAGATGAATACTGAAAAAGGGAGAAGAAGATGGTGGTGTCATGGAAGTGTCACTGGCTTGTGATAATCCCATGGGAAGATGGGCTGATTCAAAAGGTATTCTGGAATTGGAAATTTACCTTTCCTAAACTTGACAGTTTTGAGGCAATCCTTTCTTGGGCAGGCCTACAGTCAACTCCAGCTTCACATTAATATGATGATCTCATAACTACCCTCTGAAATGGCCCACCAGTCACTGAATTCAAAAGGTTTAGGTCTGGGCAAATGCTGACCCAGCAAACAGTGCCCACACCCCACAAAAGATTAAGAAAAATAAGAATGGAGAGAAGAAATGAGCGAGTGGACGTATTAGTAGGTTGAATGATTTATAAACTGAGTTTCTAAAAAAAAAATTCTTGGAATATACGCACTGCTGACTAGGTTAGGCCAACATTTTTTGGCCACTCAATTGTCCAAAGGGCAGTTAAGAGTCAACCACATTGCTGTGGATCAGAAGTCATATGCAGGCAAATCAAATAAGGATGGCAGATTCTCTTTGCGAAAGGGTATTGGTGAACCAGATGCACCTTTACAACAATCGACAGGGTTGCATTCAACTAGCTTCATAATTCAAGATTTTATTAGCCTGGCGTTCTGGATTACTGGTCGAATGACAGCCTCACTCAGCTACTCACTCATCCCCTATTTGAAAACCAATAAAAAGATGCAGTGTATCAGTGAGGCAACGGGAAATGCTAAGAGTTAGCTAAGACAGCTACACAAATGAACATTCAAAAGAATGGCCATAACAGTTTGAGGGGAATAAAAGTGAGTCAAGACCATGGGAGAGCACCCATCTGCTGAGGACAGAACAAAATAAGACAATCATAACACCTCAAGATGGAGCAAAATATCACACTGATTGCTTTAAGAAATGGAGGTGGATGCTTGGAACACTGCTTCCTCTTCAAAAGCAAATGCGATGTGATGAATTGGTGTTGATCTTATCGCTCACATTGTGACAACTCTTCAAAGAAACAAGATGGAGCATCAAATGACCTGCTTGAAAAATTGGGATATCATTTGCTTAGCCATCTGCCGAAAGTACAAAATCCCATTAGATAAAGAAAGCTAGTGCCTACCTCCACCTTGTTCTTATGGAACATACAACTTAGGAACAGGAACAGCTCTTCAGCTCAAAACAGACATGCATTTATATAATAAGCATTCTTCACAATTTTCGGATGACCCAAACAGTTTTAAAGTCAATTAAGTACTCTTTTTGCTATAATTTGGGAAATGCAGCAGGTAATCTGAATACAAAAGGCTCCAGCAAAGCAGAATGATATGATCAATTTTTAAAAAGTGAGATGTTGATTCCATTGCTCAAAGCGTCTATCATTCAGTTTAGATTATGACTGATCTATACCTCCACTTGCTTTACTCCATTTTGAGATCCATAAAGAATTTAAGAGAATGCTAATCTTAAAGGCCCTGCACCAGTCTTTGCACAGAAGACTTCTGGGTATCAAATACACTTATAAAGCGATTAGTTTAACACCTTAGTGATTAAGATTCCATTCAGTCACGGTTCTCTCTTCTTTGCATCAAGTCTGACTTGACCCCTTTTCTCCCAATTTGAAGTAAGAAAAATCAACCTTCTCTTGACTAAACCCATGACTACCACTTCACCATATCTGCCTTGGTATTCTTCATCACAAAAGCTTGTCAACTCACTAGCTCTCCCAGACATTGGTTTCATTTACCGTGAACCACTGCTCGGGGACCAACTTAAAGAAAAAAAAAAATTCACTCATAGGACATGGACATTACTGGCTGGCCAGCATTTATTGCTTGCCCTGGTTGCCTTTGAGAAGGTGGTGGTAGTGGTGAGCTGCCTCCTTTTAGCTGCTGCAGTCCACTTGTTGTACTTTTACTCAATGCCCTTAGGGAAGGAATTTCAGAATTTTGACCCAGTGACAGTGAAGAAATGGCAACATATTTCCAAGTCAAAATAGTGACTAGTTTGGCAGGAAATTGCAGTTGGTGTTCCCATGCATTTGCTGTCCTTGTCCTTCTAAATGGAAATGGTCATGAATTGGAAAGTGTTAAGAATCTGATGAATTTCTGTAGTGCACCTTGTAGATAGTACACACTGCTACTACTAAATGTCAGTGGAAGGAATGGATGCTTGTGTTGTGGTGCCAAATCAGAGGGCTCCTTTGTTCTTGATGGGGTCAAACTTGAGTGTTGTTGGAGCTACACACATCCAGACAAGTGGGGAGCATTCCATCACACTCCTGACTTGTGCCTTGTAGGTGATAGAAAGGTGTTGGGAGTCAGGTGGTGAGTTACTCACCACAGTAATCCTAGCCTCCGACGTGTCCTTCTGGCTACTGTATTTATGTCACAAATACAGTTGAGTTTCTGGTCAATAGTAACCCCAAGGATGTTGATAGTGTGGGATTCAGTGATGGTAATACCATTGAATGTCAAGGGGTGATGGTTAGATCATCCCTTACTGGAGATTGTAATTGCCTGGCATTTGTGTGGCATGAACATTACTCGCCACTTGTCAGTCTAAGCCTGGATATTGTCCAGATCTTATTGCATTTTGAACATGGACTGCTCAATATCTGAGGAGTCACAAATCATACTAAACATCACTCCTTGACCATCTTGTCTTTGCTGCAATCTCCTGGCCCAGCCTGTGGATCAAGAAGTCATGTTACTTCATATTGTCATTAAAAATATTGACCTCCTCAATGAAACGCTGCAATTCAATTGAATGCACCTTGTTATCGCATCCGGTAATAGAGAAGACAAACAAAATGGGTTTAGTGATAGGTTGTATTTCAGCACATAGCAGGACATGTGCCTTCCTTTATTATAACCAAATAGAACAACTACAAATAATTGGATTACATCAAGGTTGTTTTTTTATAAAAAGAGTTTGCAATCATGTTACCAGTAATTACTGAACTAAAAAGTATACAGAAGAAATAGTCTGCAAATACACTTTTTGCAAGCAATAGTTAATTTAAATGTGGAACCAAAAACCTACATTAAAGCACGAAGCAATGGGAAAGGAGGGTCTAGCCAGAAAGGATTGGAATTAGAAAAGTAGTTCAGAATAATTCCTTAAAATTTAACATTCTAAGTATTGTCTATGAGGCAAGACTGTAATATACAAATTTTACAAACAGGGTGCGATAGCAGGTTGCTTGTGGTTTATGTAGGTGGGTAACATGACACAAACAGCAGGAGATGAGGAAACAATTAAAGTGTGCCCATTCCAGAGACTTCAGATGTTAGCCTGGGAGAGGGAGAAACAAAAAAAACAGTTTGATTAATAAGCATTCTGAATGAGTTTCAATTATATTATCATAAATAAGCCAGTGTTTTTGTTCCACACAGGTTCTCTCTTACCTCACTTAATTTCACCCAAGCAGCATATCCTTCTATTCATTTCTCCTTTGTATACTTCGCTAACATTCGTGCATTTGTGTTACTCTTGTGGCAAATTCCAAGTGAAACAAGCAAGTGTATACTGTGCTTAAAATCACAACATTTACTTCCTGAAACTCTCAAGCTACAATAATTCTGTCAATTGATTTCTTGTAAATCTGATGGTATTTGGGAATGCGGTCAGATCCAGTACATTTTAGCAAACTGCCTAGGCTATAATTTTCCGTTTAGTGAACATCCACATGAAGCTTGCACAGTGGTCAAAATTAACTGTGCTCTATTTAGTTGTTTAGTCGAGTACCTGTGCTACATTTATTTTCTCATCAAGCCATCAGATAACAATGTCCGTGGATTGAAACACTTGCTTCTTTGCTCAACTTTTGGGAATGGCAGTCAAGTGAGCGAGTGGACATTAGCAAAAATAACCCTCAAGTAAGCTCAGCAAATGACATGTGTCATGTTTGTTTGTTCAGGGATACTGGAACGTCTGGAGCTTCTGAAAGTTAGAATTATTTTAAGTACTCAGAACAGTTTTTTTAATCTTAAAAGTGCCTTTCTCCCTCTCTGATTCAGGTATCACGTTTCGCTGAGTGGAGTTAATCAATTCCTCACCACCCAACTTCTCTAAAGCTGGCCACGTATCATTTTACAATCTAGGATTCTGCTCTGGGTTCTATCTTGCTAAGTTAGTCTCTATTCATTAGCCCTTTTTGAACTTTACAAACATCAAAAAAATAAGCAAAAGCTGTCTTCGATATTGGTCGCTGTTGACAATGGTGAGATGGGCACATGGAGCATAAATCCAGAGTGGTGATATTTTAAATATTGCTTTAATGCTTGAAAGTGAACTAGCTAAATAGTGAATAACAACAGATTCTGAAGACACCAACGCACAAGGAACCTAAGCAGATCAGCACCTCAAAATTAATTAGGATTTAATGGATGAATGAAGATTGGAGACATCACTTAATCTGTGATCCACTAAATCCTAATTAATTTTGAGGTGCTGATCTGCTTAGGTTCCTTGTGCATTGGTGTCTTCAGAATCTGTTGTTACTCACGATTTAGCTAGTTCACTTTCAAGCATTAAAGCAATACTTAAAATATCACCACTCTGGATTTATGCTCCATGTGCCCATCTCACCATTGTCAACAGCGACCAATATCGAAGACAGCTTTTGCTTACTTTTTGATGTTTGTAAAGTTCAAAAAGGGCTAATGAATAGAGACTGACTTAGCAAGATAGAATCCTGGCTCAGTGGTTAGCACTGCTACCTCTCAGTGCCAGGGACCCAGGTTCAATTCCACCCTCGGGCGACTGTCTGCGTGGAGTTTGCACATTCTGTGTCTGCGCGAGTTCCCTCCGGGTGCTCCAGTTTCCTCCCACGGTCCAAAGATGTGCAGGGTATTGGATTGGCCATGCTAAGTTGCCCGTAGTGTCCAAGGATATTTAGGTTAGGTGGGATATGGGGAAATGCAAGGGTAGGGGAATGAGTTGGGATGGGATGCTGATTGGAAGGGTGGCATGGATTTGTTGGGCCGCACTGTAGGGATGCTATAGTTATCTGTGATGAGAATCACAAATCAGAAATCATTACATGGTGCATCATTCTTGCATTTTGAAGCGATATTTTACAGATCTCAAGAATAAGATCACTCTGCCACCTGCACTGTTCCAATAAAATTAAACAAACTTAATTAGGTATTTGAGTGTCTTCTGGAATTGATATTAAGTTCAACAATTTCAGGATTATAACCACTGCTCTTTCTTCCAGGAACTGTGTTGGTACTGATTGTACTATTGTCTTTTCAGCTCCCTCACATCCATCTTTTGTTTCTTTACTTGCTTCACTGCAAATCTTTTGATATACATCATCCCTTTTATCATTTAATCACTCCTCCCTTCACATTATCATAGATCTTCTCTTGTTCTTTCCTTCTTACTCATGAAAAGCCAGCAGTCTGAATCATTGGGTGCTTTACATTTTTCTCAATATTGCCTATATTACCTCAGCATTTACAGCGCAATATTTTTAAATTCAGGTTTCCACAATGTGCAGATTTTGCCGTGGTGATAATTGCTAGGACTGATCTGTTTTAAAAAAGCAAAATGCACTAGGTGATGGTCCAATCAACATTTTCCTTCAGAAGGAAGATCTGATCATTCATCTGTCACTAATTTAAATGATAGGTATATCTAGTGCAACATTCATCTAGTTCAACATTCATCTAGTTGTACTGCATGACCCACCTGACCTAAGTTCTGGCTTCAATCAATAAAATGCATAATCATGACTTTCAAACAACTGTATGATTGAGAAACTGTGCACACATTATTGGACACAGCCAGCTTGGAATCTACTTCTAAATGCAAAACCACAGATTCCAGAGACAGTTTCAAATACAGTTGTATTTATCCTGTTTGTACAAGGGAAACAGAATAACAACATATCTAAACAGCATAACAATGTGCATAGAGTATAATTTGACCATACATTTCAGCTCCTTTAAGACTATAAACATTGTGCTGGTTAACCACATAATGAAATCTCTTCAACACCACATTTAGTCATTAGCAGAGCTGTGGGTTAGTGCCAGCTGTTTATTGAAGCTTGTACTCTGGAGGAGCCCTTGAAATTTATCAATGTTTCTGAAAATCATTTTTAGAACATTTGAGATTCATGAAGTATTCCAAATTCAGACTCCAGTACTATATCTTCATTAAGATCTTCAGCTTTGCTATTAGCATTATGGAATTATATGGTGGAAAAAAGCTTTTGAAGCAGCAGTTTCATACAAGATTGTGGGTGCTTTAATGTGTAGTTCATAAAATGAGCAATATTAGGATGTGTCACAAATCTTCAGGTAGCTACTTCATTCTTTCAACTCAGACTTCTCATTCATTGTCAACTCACTGAGGTACTGTTCCAGATCAGTTTCCTATTAGCTTGATTAAGTGGCCTGGCTCATGTGCAATGCCATTCAGTGACTTTGCTGACTAGTTCATCCATGCTTCAAATGCAAGTTCTCCTATGTGGTTTTCAACTTGCAACACACCTAGTTTCCAACAAGTACTTGTCCACTTGTTTTACCTAATTTTCTAATCAACCTGCTCAGAGATGTTATTACATACCTCTGGAGCAGGTGGGACTTGAACACATGCCTCCCAGTCCAGGGGCATTGAGGACTACTATCGTACTTATTTATGGTAGACTACTCCACATTATAACTACCCTTTGTAAAAATACTTTTTCTTTTGTTCTTTTGGTGTTCATTTTAAATGCACACCTTCTGGGTTAGCAGTTTATGAACAAGTAATGTTTCACTGATCCTCTCAAAATTTGCAAGACTATCAGATCTCGTCTCATAATTGAAATGTTATTCATATTGTCCTTTTAAATACTCTGCCACCTCCAACCTGAAATCAGTTGTCCAGCATTCTAACTGCAACTGAGTCAATATTCATGCAAGTTTAGCACAGCATTAGTGCTTAAAACAGTGGCCCTAACGATACTACTGATGATATCCACTGAAAAAAAATAGGAGGAGGATAGTAGTTGATCAAAGTTTCTATTTATGCTGCCACATTCACTGGTTTCATTAAAACACTGCACTGGTTAAATCTTTCCATTTTTCCCCCACATTTTTTTGAAGCTGTAAAATTACAGTACATATTTGATATTCCAGCAATCTGCACTGATGATAGCACAGTACAAAACTACATTTAGCTTATTAATAGGTAAAGAGAGTCATTGTTGGATCCTGATTTATTCAATTCTACCACAGTGAATCAAAAAAATTGTCTTTCTGGTATTGAAGAACAAGATCTGCTTCAAGGAACAATTGTGAAACTGTTCAGGCAAGTTGAACAGATAAATTAACTTCATGACCGGTTCTGCCACGTTGATTTGACTTTTTGTGGTAGGTAGTTTTTAATGCACCAATTTTCTTTTCCATCAACCCCATGTATCCTCAATTAATTTCTATGGTCATATGATAGGGAATTTACAATACCATCACGTTAATAAAGTATGTGAAAATGGCACACTTGGTTTTAAGCTGAAGGTGTACCTGAAAAATTCTGGACGATAAAAATTTGCAAACAACTATTTTGCAGTGTGACGTGAAGTGAAGTGAACTGAACACAGGTACAAAATTGCTTGGCCTTACAGCATCACTTGAGTAAAGGCCAGATTAGGCAGGATTCAGTTTGTTACTTGTCATTATAGATAATGTCTTCAATTTTACATATACAAGTTAATAAGTAAATACTATTTCCTGTTCTACCATTACACAATGAAACCAATGTCTGAATTGTGACAATCGCCATTATAGCACCAAATGGGTGCAGCAATATCAGACAATACTTAAAATGTAATGAATTCATTGCCACTTCATTACATCTTTCTTCCCTATAGTTTCCAATTGTATTTCACATACATGATTATATGTATTCCAGTCTTTCTCCATTGTAAGACTGGAAAGACAACAAGCAGTTTTACTGGGGTACATCACAGATAGATGCTGAAGATAAGGGCTATGTTAGAAAGAAGGGAAAATAAAACTGGTCGTCTTTTCAGAAAGTGTCCTAAAAATTCTGTGCATCTACAAACACTATCTGGATTTGCATAACTATTAGCAATTATAGAGATTTTACCCATTTAATTTGGACTAACATTTGCCTTTGCGATTGCACTGTTTTTCCTCTGGCATTAATGAAGCTCCATAATAAACTGGATTGATGACCTTCCCTACAATCTCTCCACATCCCCTTCCCATCCCCAAAAACGCTAGCTGGAATTCTCTTACCTTGCATTAATGAGGTACTGTGCAAGGCTTATGTTGGCAGGGGATCCAGTAATAGTAATCTGACGTTCCGTTGAGCCTTCTGCTGCATTAGCTATTTTAATCTGAGCCCCAGACATTTGTCTGATCTCATTGATTTTGCTGCCTTGTCTGCCGATTATACATCCTATTAGCTGGAAAGAAATTTGCAAAAAATCTAAATCAAACAATTAACTGGTAAAGTGAGAATAATGAATGCAGACTAAAGCTGCAAGAATAGGAAAAGACAGAAGTAAAATTATTTCAGTCCAATACTATTTGTTGCTCATATTTAAGGATTGCTAATAGCTATTTGCTTTTTCCTTGCTGGCTAGTCCCACATATACTTGGGGAAGGTCCAATTCTTCAAACTAAGTCCTAAATTTAATGGCAAGTTTTTCCTTAAAATTAACTTCCACATATAAGAGTTATTCCTAATTATATCTAGTTTGCTTGCTCATAAAACCAAGCTATTGGAAAGGTGATGAAAACATCAGATTACTCAAGCTAAGACAAGGGGAGAAGACTATGATTTCCACACTAGTAACACAAGTGTCTTAAATCATTTGATGTAGACTTTTAGGTGGAAAAGTTATCCGAGGGCAATTTTAACCAATCAAATGTGTTGGAAGCAATAAAGGAATTAGAGATTCCTCTAGTACTGTACTGCCTTGACAAAATCGTTTAGCACAAACAGCTAGCCACAGCTACATCGACTCATTGCTGTGGGGTTTTTGAAGTACAAACTCTAAATAAGCAAATTAAGGACTAAATATTTCTGTACCATGCTCTCGTTATAGTGCTGTGTATGCTGGGCATATGAAAAATATCAAAATTCAAAGAAACGTTTTAAAAGAATTGTTGTAAAAGTCTTATTTTTTTGATGTACAAATATATGAGCAGTTCAGAGGCACTTTATTATTAATCTGCAGCTCAGAAAAAACATTTTCCATAATGTAAATTAATTCTACCTGTATGGATACTCAACTGCAGCTTATACAAGAGAAACCTCTAAGAGTGGTGCCAACATGGAACTTGCAATCGCTTGTGAAAAATGAATAAAGGCAGAATAGATCAATAAATGAGAGAGATAGACGAGGGATTAAATAAACAGGCATAATGCTTGCTTAGCCACGAAAGATAAAACACCCAAAATTTTAGACACTTTCATGTGTATAAGTGAATCAACCTAATTTGTTTAACCTTCACTGCACAAAATGCATTGCATTACCTCTCAATGGGGAATTGTGGCCTAGAAAGTTTGTATGACATTTATGCAATAAGTTCAAATTATCTTCCTGATGCTTGAGCAGAATAATAAAGACAGAATCTCTACTTCAATGTAGAAAGATCAAAGATTTTATATTTATTAGAATGTGGACATTTAACATTAAATTATTTGATTCCATAACAATTAATATAATTTATTACAGCGCTTTCTCCAAGTCTCTTAGAAGCAAGTTTGAGTTTGCAGAAACCCTTCCGTGGGTCCCTAACTAAGAGTAGGCTTGGGAGAATACATTTTGAAAGGGAAGAAATAGGAATAAGTCATGATTTTGGACACCAGAATCAAGACAATAGTTTTATAATCAGGAATTACCCAAAGGGAATAACTTACATCATTGGGAATGGTGAGCTCATGAGTACTGGCCGGGGGATTGGCATCCAAACCTAAGTAAATGCGAGAATAAGTTATTAGCAATGGACAACATGCGTGAGATATAAACAATGCAATCCTCTCTCCTTGCACATGAATGAGAGCTTCAGTTCTACAAAGCTAGTTTTGTTCCCAGATCTGTTAAGATTGATCAGTGACCAGTTTCTCTTGCTATATACAAACCAGACACTCATTCTCATGATTTTCACAAAAGCATACAGCTCTGCAGTAGACAAAATGGTTTACTGGATTTACATATAGGAAGAAAGGGCACAAACAAAAAATGTTTCTCTCAGCTGGCCAATTTATCTCAAATTTTGAAAGAGGTACAAGGAGTGGATAGTGTAGATGCAGACTGGCTCTTGAAAAATTTCACGACCACTTCCAATGCAGAATTCCAATGCATCATCCTTGGATGATGTAAAGGCATCTACGTACGAACTGCTTCTTTCATAGGTTCAGCACAAAGCTGCTTTGAAATGCTTTGTAATAGCCATGTCAAGAATTGCTGAAACAGAAGTAAGGCACTTCCATAGCCATCAATTTAAATACACAGCTACAGATACAGGGGTCCCAAAATCCCATGTACCATTCAATGCATTAGTAACTAATATGATTTGTTTAGGGGCTCCTATGACAGAGAAGCATATCCTTCTAATTATAAAATCACTTCTACAAGTTAAACTAGAGTGAGGCCAATTGCTGGGTTTTATCTTTAATGGAAATTCTGGCTACCGTTTGTTAGATTTTCCAAAATCCATCTGGATCAAGTCTCCAATGAAATAATTAGATAGCAATTGCCTGGAGTTTAAACATTAGCTTCAGAGCAGATTGATCAACTTTGCTTTTGTTACTGGTTGCAGAGTTTCCCCAGGTTAACATATGCACAATTGTCTCAAAACTAATACTGTTGACATAAATGGTTTCTTTTGAAATAGGATCATATAGTTCTGTGGTTTGAGTGACAGTCATGTCATAGGCTGAACTCCAATGGTGCTTCTTTCCACCCAACCTCAGTTGAGGGACATGTTCAAATGTGATATTTTAAGCTGGACGTAAAACAAAAAAAACTTTTGTTTTGCTCTCGGAATGTTATTTAACATGTGACATTGAGTAAAGCTTTACTGCCCAATCAGATTTGCTTTTGGGGAGATCTTTCTCAAAAATCAATTGGTAGTTGAACTGAAGTATGTGTTTACACTGGAAATCCTCTCCCATTTCCAGTAATGGAAAGTAAATTGCTTGCCTTCAGTTCTGGTACTTCCAATATGTTATGTGGAAAATAGGCAAGTTTCAGTTTATGGGAATGAAAGCCTGCTTGTGGAAGATGCCTTCTGGGTGAGCACAAACAAAGCATGATGGAAGAAATCCCAACTTGTCAAATCATATTCTTTCCTGTTGGGGTTGGTTGGTTCGCCGAGCTGGTTCGTTGTTCCGCAGACATTTCATTACCCTGCTGGGTAACATCATCAGTGCAGCCTCCGATGAAGTGCTGTTGTGTTTTCCCGCCTGGTATTTAAACTCTGGGGTCCATTCAGCTGGATTACCTCACTTCTGGTTTTCCTTTGCAGTGGAGTATATGAAGCGTCTAGCTCTATGTGTTTGTTGATGGCCTTCTTAGTGGAGAACCAGGCTTCTAGGAAATCCCGTGCTTGTCTCTGCCACAAGAGTACACAAACATGAACTAGCAACAAAAAGACACGACCAATACTCTCTCATCTCCATCCACATGGAGAAGGAAAACCACCAGCCAACATGCCAAGCAGAGACAAGCACAGGAATTCCTAGAAGCCTGGTTCTCCATTAAGAAGGCCATCAATAAACACAAGTTAGACCCTATATATACACTCCACTGCAAAAGAAAACTGGAAGTGAAGTAATCCAGCTGAATGGATCCCAGAGTTTAAATACCAGGCGGGAAAACAACAGCGCTTCATTGGAGGCTGCACTGATGATATTACCCAGCAGGGTAACGAAACGTCTGCGGAACAACGAACCAGCTCGGCGAGCCAACCAACCACAACACCCACAACCCGAGCTACAAATCTACACAAAAACCTTACATATTCTTTCCCTGTGCATTTGAATTAATTAAAAAAATGGGAAATTCAAGTTGCATTATTTTTGATTTCATTCCCAAATACAGAACAAATAAAGCAGTTAGGAAAGTGACAGGCAAAATTTAATGCCAATGACCATAATGAAAAGGACTAATTATCTAGGCTATCATATATAAAGTCAATATTTATTGGGCTTCTGGCTATATCATGTCATCTAGCCATTAGCTTAATCTATTGAAATTATGAATATACCGTGGTCTCAAGGGGTCTTTGCTAAAGTTTGAAGATTAAACTCTTAACAGTTACTGTAGAATAATGCATTACACAATTACAAAAAGCCATAGCACCCTTTTAAAGGGATGTGGATAAATATTTGACAATGAAACATTTACAAGAGAATGAGGAAAGGCCAGCCCCATGGGGCTATGATGATAGCTCTTTTAGACAACAGGTACATGGGCAACTGGCCAAAAAAACTGCTCACCATATTGAAGGGCAACTAGGGACAAGCGCAGACGCTGGCCATGTCAGTGACGGCCAAATCATGTGAATGAATAAAATTTAATAATCTTTAGATTCTTCAGATGTGAAACAAGAATGCAATGTATACAACTTTGAGCAAAGTATGACTGAGTGACAAACTATCACCTCCTGTGATTGCTTTCATTATGTAGAAAGTATATTTGCCACTTGTAATGTCTTAGACTATCAGACTTGTACATTTACTGGAAATTCTCAGCGTGGAAAAACTTTCATGCTGAGCAAAAATCCTGGCTATCAAAGCACAACTTATGTTAGCTATTTGCCTTTACTGCAAAACCTTTGTAAAACAAACACCCAGCTAAATGTGTTTGAGGCTAAATCATTTGTTTTTGTTTAACTACTCTTTTGTACTTGCCAGACTGTATTTATACAGGAGACATGTAGAATTTGTGAAAATCATGAGAAATGTGTGCAGCCGTTTTTCCAGAAGTTGCAAATTAGCTTCAGCATCAGGACACCTATGCCTTTGTGAAAGGATGAACATTTTCTGTTTGTAAATTAAGAATTTAAACCATTTGCCAAATGAAGGTAAATCTTCTGATCTTTCAAATTCTACCAAAAAGAATAAAGGTCCTGCTACTTGGTGCAATTTTACACACATGGAACAGTAAAATTCAATAATCCTTCACCTTGAGGCTGAAAGTAGTACAGATAACGTTGGATTAATAATTTAACTTGGGCATTGAGAAACTGATCCACAAAAACTATACATTCACATTCTTTTGTAGCAAAGTTAATAATAGAAAAATGAGAAATTAATTTAATTTACAAATTCACTAGTTAAGAAACTGTTAAACCTTGAAACACTGAATATACATCCATTCCAATTTATTTTAAAAACTATGAGAGAGAGAGAAAAAGAGAAGTAGAGAAAACAGAGGTGCCAAGAAAAGGAGCTGAATAGGGCACTGTGGGTACGTACCAGGGAAACCAGGGGTGGTCTGCCCAAGGGGAGTAAAGGGGGTATGCTGCATAGCCAACTGATGAAGCTTGGTCAACTGCTGGGGGTAGGAGGGGAAATTAGAACTAACTGATTACTGTACAATAAACACAAACACTACTTTTAAGAAAAAAAAAGGCAGTAAACAATGAACCATGCAGCAACATGGCAAACACTTAATTTGATGGAAAATAAGATACTTCTTAAAATTGCAAAAACTTTCTGGGTCCCACTCTTTCTTAATGTCTCTCCATATCAAATGGATCTGATCGGGAAGACTGGTACAAGTAACTGGGAATTTCTCCTGGCAGACAAGAGGAAGTGAAGGCTCACCCTCAGCTCTGTGAGCCAGCCAGAAAGTTGCTGAGGTCTTTCTGAAAGTGGAGGTCAGCAAGCCAGGTTTCATCTGGTGCCTTATCTGAGAGCTACCGATACCTGCATGACAAGAGACAGGAGAGTCAGCCTTGGTTGGGACTCAAACATACCCCAGGTTCCTGAGTCTTCGATACAGTTTTTTAATTCCATTTTTCCTCTCAAGGACTCAGGTCTCCATGCAGGTTCCGTCAGCTGGGAGGACGGGTGAGTAAGCTGCGGACTTCTCCACAACGTCGACGCCAGTGTTGCTTTATACTCAGCCGACAGGAGGCATGCATCCTGTGGAGCAAGATGGCCAGTGTCAGAGTTGCGATGCTCCCATACCATGAGACATTCTGCCTTGCTGTCTGACTGAGAATTGAAGGACCTCATGTCAGTGTGGCCGCAAGATTAGAGCATCCAATATCGCTGACATCAAAAGGAATTCATCACAATGGTAGATGTACGATTGGAGTTTTGGGGAACACTGCGACTCAGTCACAATGTAAGAAGCACTTTAACCATTCAAAATGGACAGGTTGCTAATTTCACCATGCTGTGGTAAACTTTCAGGGCATAACTGCATGGTTAGGAAGTTTATAACCACTGATTACCAAGCACAACGGTGCAATTAGGAGAGTAACACTTATTTGCGTTACAAACAGAAAGGAATTGAACAGATACTGAATTTGCAGAGATGGCTGTTTGGGCCCCAATCCCATCATTCCTAAATCAAGGTAATACAATATTTATTCTACTAGGGTCAAGATGCTTACAAGATGTTACGTCAAGAGGATCCAATGTTTGAAATCTTGCTCATGATGTCTTACTCTGTTGAAGACATTTAATATGGGGCTGGCGGGGTCCTAGGGGTAGGCTCTGGGTACAAAGCAATACAAGCCATATTCCAACATGACCAGGAAGCAATCTGAAATGCAATGCGATCTTGACTCTTTTCAGGCTAGATTCAGGTGCATAAATTTCAAGGCCTTTATAGAATTTCAGGTGTCTCATGTTTATCCAGCTGAGATTAAAATAAATGCAACAAGGTGTCGCTGAGAAGAGATGCAAACTTTACTAAAATACAACAATTCTCTCAGGATAAATGCCATCTCTGTATTTTTTAAGTTGGCAAGTTATGCGACAAACAATTTTAATGATAGCATCAATTAATAAGCACAGGGCAAGTGACTTGGGTATCAGTAGGGGAGCATTTTGGGGCCAGTGATCGAAATTCTGTTAGTTTTAAAGTAGTTACGGAAAAGAATAGACCTGATCTTAAAAAAAAAAGTTCTAAACTGGAGTAAGGCAGATTTTGAGGGTATTAGGCAAGAACTTTTAAAAGTTGATCGGGAGAGGCGATTTGCTGATAAAGGGACAAAAGTGGGTAGCCTTTAAAAATGAGATAGCGAGAGTGTAAAGACAGTATGTTCCTGTTAGTGTGAAGGGCAAGACTGGGAGGTATTGGGAATGCTGGATGACTAGAGAAATTGAGGGTCTGGTCAAGAAAAAGGGGGCATGTCAGATTCAGACAGCTAGGACCGAATGAATCCCTAGGAGTGTAAGGGCAGTGCGAGTACATTCAAGAGGGAAATCAGGAGGGCAAGAATGGGACACGAGATAGCTTTGGCAAGTAGAGTTAAGGAGAATCCAAAGAGATTCTACAAACACATTAAGGGAAAAAGAGTAACTATGGAGAGAACAGGATCCCTTAAAGATCAACAAGGCCTTCTACACGTGGAACCACGGGATATGGATGAGATACTAAACAAGTATTTCGCATCAGTATTTACTGTGGAGGAGGACACAGAAGCTAGAGAATTTGGGGAAATAAATAGTGATGCCTTAAAGCATCCTTTTATAGAAGAGGTGGTGCTTGACATTTTAAAATACATAAAGGTGGATAAATCCCCGGGACCTGATCAGGTGTATCATAGAACTGAGGGAACCTAGGGAAGTGATTGCTAAGCCCCTTGACGAGCCATTTGTATCATCGATAGGCATGGGTGAGGTGCCGAAGACTGAAGGTTGGATAACATGGTACCATTATTTAAAAACTTGGAATGCAAAAGCCGAGGAACTATAGACTGATGAACTTGACATCAGTGGTGGGTAGATTGTTGGAGGGGATTCTGAGGCACATGATTTACGTGCATTTGGAAAGGCAAGGACTGATTAGGCAGAGTCAACATGCCTGTGTGTGGGGAAAATCATGTCTCACTAACTTGATTGAGTTTTTGAAGTAGTGACAACGATGATTGAGGGTAGAGCAGTAGACATTGTCCATCTGGACTTCAAGGCATTTGACCAGGTTCCACATGATAGACTGGTTATCAAACTTGGGTCACATGGAATCCAGAGGAAGTTAGCCAAGTAGATACAAAATTGGCTTGAAGGTAGGAGACAGAGGGTGGTGGTGATGTTTGAGCAGTGGTGTGCCACAAGGATCAGTGCTGAGTGCACTGCTTTTTATCATTTATACAAATGATTTGGATGTGAATATAGGAGGTATGGTCAGTTTGTGGATGACACCAAAATTGGTGCAGTGGACACAAAGGAGGTTATCTCAGTGCACAGCGGGACCTTGGTCAGATGCTAATGGGTTAAGGTGTGGCAGATGGAGTTCAATTTGGATAAATGTGCGGTGTTACGTTTCATTGAGGCAAATCAGGTCAGAATTTAGAGAGTTAATAGTAGGGCTCTGGAGTGTGTTGCTGAACAAGGGGACCGAGGGGTGCAGGTGCTTAGTTCTTTGGAAGTGGACTTGCAGGTAGACAGGGTGGTGAAGGTGGTGTTTGGTATGCTTGCCTTTATTGGTCAATGCATTGAATATAGGAGTTGGGATGTCATAATGCAGCTGTACAGGACATTGGTTAGGGCACTTTTAGAATACTGCATGCAATTCTGGTCTCCCTGCTATAGGAAATATGTTGCTAAACTCGAAAGGGTGCAGAAAATATTTACAAGCATGTTGGCGTGATTGGAGAGTTTGAGTTACAGAGCGAGGCTGAATAGTTTGGGGCTTTTTCTCCCTGGAGCACAGGACACTGAGGGATGACCTATAGAGGTTTATAAAATCATGACGGGCATGGAGATGGTGAGTTGCCAAGGTCTTTTTCCCAGGGTAGGGGAGTCCAAAACTAGAGGTTGAGGGGGGATGATTTAAAAAAAGGACCTGAGGGGCAACATTTTCACAGAGGATGGTGTCTATATAGAATGAGATATCAAAGGAAGTGGTGGAGGCTGGTACAATTACAACATTTAAAAGGTACCTGGATGGGTACATGAATAGGAAGGGTTTAAGAGGGATATGGGCCAATTGCTGGCAAATGGGACTACAGCAATTTAGGATATCTGGTCAGCATGAACAAAGACCAAAGGATCTGTTTCCATCTGTACAACTCTATGACTCTAAACTCCCAGCATCACATTTAAAGTTCTAGGGGCGTTTTTATTTGCTGTGCAGTCTCAGAATCCCTTGTGATAGCAGTCTTGCCCATGTAACAGTCATAGCTTTCATCATTATCAGGTACTGTGCAAAGCTCATGTAATGCACAACTGATAAAAGAGAAAGAACACAGATTTGTAAAGGAGTTCATGAATCTAATGTAAGAAACATATCTAGTGTTAGACAAAAGAATGTATATTGAAGTCTCTACGGACTTCCAGATAGCATTCAATAAACTTCCACCTAAGGAAATATAGTTAAACAGGAATTGCAGGAAATTAAGAAGTAATCTGTTTTCAACTGAACAAAGTTAAATTTGACTAATAGTGAAAAAGTACAAAAATACACAGAGATGAAGGGATCCCTTTATATATAGATTACTATGACTAGTCAGGTTCTGAAAAAAGAAAGGGAATGCTAGCCTTCATAACTAGTGGCCTAGAATAGAATGAGAAAGAAGTTTTACTGTAACTATATAAAGTTCTTCTGCTGTGCTACGAACAGTTCTGGGCACCACACGATTAACAGTAATACTGGTGTAGGGAACACAGCAGTTCAGGTTCACCAGTATGCCATTAGGTCACTAAGAACTAGATTTGAGGACAGATTACAAAAATTAGGTTATGACCTCTGATAAATGTCAGCTGGGTGATTTGATGTAGAGTTATACAATTCAGACAGAAATTATGGATTAGAACCTCGTTCTGCCGGAGTCTCAGGACAGGGGAGCATAAAACTTAAAATCAGAGCAAGGCCATTCAGAACAGCAAGTCAGAAAATGCTCATGCAAAGCATGGCAAAAGAATGGAATACTCTGAAAAAGCTAGGCACAATTAATAACTTTAAATCTGAGACACACAAGGCAAGTGTATAAATGGATGCGAGGTCAAGGAGGGTGCACGGAATTAGGATACATATCAGCCGTGATCTAACTGAACAGTGGGAAAGGACTGAACGACCTACTCACATTAGCAAGTCTACACGCTTTCTATTTTAATTTTAATGCAAAAATTCAGGTCTTGGGCGCAAATACAATTATTTACCCTGGAAAGTAAACACTAAGATATGACATTTGAATATCAATCCCTTTTTGGTACTGAGCAATTGACCAGAGTGTGGATATATAAAAGCACAGATTAGGGTAAAAAGGTCAAATAAAACCAAAGTATTACAGCCTTACAATAAAGTTTAGCTCATGCTACTGCTCATCTTACGCAGGTTTCTTTTATTTTTTGTTGTTGCCAGGAACAGCAATGTTCAATAATGGAGGCGCTACATTCATTTCAGTTCATGAGGCCTGAAGCAATATCATTCATTTTATTGGGAGATACTAAGTAACGTAGGTTTAAATGGAATTCTCTCAGATGAAAAATAGCTATACAACTGTTTAGAAACATTTATCCCCACAGGTGAGTACCAGGAATTAATGAAGAAAGTGACACTTATTTTCCATCAAATACACTTGTAAAACATTACTACAATATAACAAAATGGTCAGTTAAAAAGTTATTAGAAATCACAAATACATAGACAACTTTACTAATGAAATCATAATAGAACAGTTCATTATTAGTATTCATTAATAATAATGTACATACAATGCATTTTATTTTTCATTTGAAGTCACAATTAGGGTAGAAAGGGGGGGGAAAACTCACATCTGGGTGTGGAATGGCATACTGTCCCTGAATTGTATAGGCCTGTAGAAGTGAAATGAAAGAGAAATCTTCTTCAGAAGTTCCACGTTTGATAAATAATAGTTAGCACCACTGCAAGCACCTGATCTGCGTCTAAATTGTCTACTCTGAAATACATGTTGTCTCAGCAAAGGTTTTATGCAATAAATTTAAGAGAAAAGCATGCAAAAACACTTGACAGAAATTGAGCTGGAAAAAGACAAAGCACAGGATGAAGAAACATGAGCAAACAGTTAATTATTCAGTACCCATTTTAATTTAGAAAACAGCAATATTTTCTTGGGTTGCTAAAACCTACAGATCTTATCAGACTGAGCTGTTACTTAAAAGGCATTAGCCAGTTGCACATTTGTGTGCGCCAGCAGTACTGAATTGGATTATTTTTTGAACTGGAACCATTAAGCACTGAAAATTACTGAGCCACTTCTTGTAAACATCCATTTAACAAAAGGAAGGAAGCCCTAATAGTTTTCACATTAACTTTCTGCAAAGCTAGCTTTGATAATTCTTTGATAATGTACATACAGTCACAGACATATTCTAACCGGTTGCCCATATCCCTGAGACTATGTATTTGGTCAATTTACACTTTTTTTGTACATTTAAGAACATTGTAGGGTGGGGTGTGAATTGTCACAACAAATGTTCTGCAGTAATAGCATTGATGGTGCAATCTTGTCATCACAATTTAATTATTATCGTTACTTTATTATTAAAACAAAGGTAAATATCAAAATTGTGTCATGTAGAGACATTTGTGAACTAAGAGGTGAAATAGCAGCTCTCATGCAAAGTTTCTACAATAACTCGTGCTGCAGAACTTTCAGAGGAAGCTGCTCCAAGGACAAGAGCCTGGACTAAAACATCATAGTTTGGAATTAATTTATCAACATCAAAATATGACCCAGCAAATCTTGGAAAAGTCTGCAGTGACTAACAAGGAGTAAAATAAAAAAAAACAAAAAAAAAACACTGGATACTAGGACTGAAAGTACTTATTCATATAAAAAAGTAACGTGCTTGTTTTATGCTAGTGATCAGTTTATTACCATGTTAAGCTATATAGGTCAATACTGTTGTACAGCCATAAATGGCTCTGGCACGAACAAGAATATTGAAAGAAGAGGGTGCAGGAAGCATTTGCTTATAAACTCCGCACCTTCAGCATGTAGCTGCTCCTAAAACAGGTTGAGATTTTCAATATTTTTTGGAAAGCATACATTATGTAGGTAGTTGAAGCATCTACACTGAAGTCTCAATATTGGTCCTGACGCAGCACCATCATTTTTCCAACTTCACTTGCACACATTTCAGGAAATCACAATATTGTATCTGCTATGTAACACCAATTACCTTTATGTAATTAACAATTACATTATCAAACACTTACCTTTCAGATAGTTGCTTTGACTGCCATCTTAGCAAAGACAGTAGGGATTTCACATGGTCAAGTGAAGTTAATTAAAAGCTACTGCAATTCAGTTGGTCAGTTCCAGTTCCAATTCAAACTGGCCATGCTCTCACATAACCCTCAATCACTATTTGGCAACTCACTACCCTGATCCCACTTCAAGTAGTTGCTCCTTCTATTTTTGGTATTCTTTTTCAAATGGCAAAGACAAATCTAAACCGCGTGTCCAACTTTTCTGGAGTCAGTGCAGTCTGGTTATAGGGCTAGAGTCTACTCTAATGTAAAAGCATTTGATTTACTTTTAGCTATTAAAGAACTATGCATATATAATAAATACTAAAAAGAAAAAGAGCAAGCTATTCAAGTTTGAAGACTAAAATTACATGCAAAAAAAGTTGATCATAAAAGCAGAAAACTTTCCGAAGTAGTCAGCCCAATATAAAAAGTCCTAATTGAAGAGATCTGAAACACAACTTACCATGAACAGCGATCTTCAATTTAGCTAAAATTATTTCTGCCAGGTTAACATGTGAATATACAGTCATTATACAATAATATTGCCAGCCCATTATGTAAGTGTGTCAAAACACGTGCCTTTCAGAAGTGTACCGGGCCATCATTTCCAAAAATCTCTGCATTATATGTGGAGGGATAAATTGTTTCTGCTGCAAGTGGATAACTGCACTGAAAGATTTCTTTTTATTTAAATGGAAAATATTTGCTGTATTTTTGAGCAGGAATGTGAATCTTGTTTCGTACACAAATGGTTTTTTCAAAATGGTCTGTAATTTATTCCTGGAATAAACATAACTAGTTATTACCCTCCTTAAATCTAAAAACCTCTTCTCCATCTCCCTATGCTTTTCTGGGACACAACTTAACTCCCCTCTCTACAATAACAGGCCAGTGATTTACTTTAAAAGAGCAAAAATGGCAAAACTGACAGCTTGGTGTGAATGGACTTTTTTTAAAAATATAAATTCTATACCTGTAATTCTGTGTAGCCCTACTGGCAAAGTATAGATTCAAAACACAAAGTAGTTCTCCTAATTCCATGGCAAGACATCTAACTTCCAAATGGTATCATGTATGATAAAACGGTTGGAAGTAAAAACACTGGGAACTTACAACCACAAACCACTCTGGTCCTTAAACAACCGACAACTGTGAACATATTGTAAAAAAAACATTTTTCTGAATTCCTTTTCAGTTGCAAAGTTCTGTGTCCCACTCGGATAATTCTATGGCTCTTAAAAACTAATTAATATTAAATTAAAACATCTCAGTCAGCTGGGAACTCAGGCAGTAGACCATTTCATTTACTATCCAGTTAAGTGGTGAGAAATCATGAAGTCCGAGTCAGTGGCTTAAATTAATAGCATCAAATATCAATAAGAGAATTTTTAAATGGCTTGAAAGGTTTTTGATTTCAAAGTAGGAGGTAAGTTATACAACATGGAGACAATAACTTTGCTGAGACAAGCTGCACATTTGGGATGTTCTGAAGCTACTCAAGAATACTGTCACACGTACATGTGTATAAACTCAGTGGCAGCATGAATAGACAGACAGGCGCACGTGCATGCTCACACAAAACCACACGCACAGTCTTCTAAGCAGTTTCTGACACGGTTCAGTGGCCATTAGGATACAACATGCAAGTGAAGATGAGAAACCTGAATGCACTAACAGGCAGTGGCTGGTGCTGCAGTAAGAGGCTGAGGTTGGCTGCGGAGGCCGAGAGGGGATCTGCTCTTACCTGGCCACCTGCAAAAATGACGGGGGCAGAGGCGGGCTTTGGGCGGTAGGGGATGGTGGCACCTTTCGGTGGGGACTAGGAGGGACAGGGAAAGCATGTTAGAAACAGCATTAGAACAGGTTCAATTCATTTCTGAAAAAATAAAAAAGGTAAATTCAATCAATCACAAAACAGAACAAACAATAATTGCAAACACTTTTACAATGGCAGTATACTATCTTAGCCTACTATAAAAGCACCTAAAAATTCTACTTTTAATAAAACAAATTCATAGAAAATCTAACAATGTTAGTTACACAGAATAAACAATTTAACATTTTGCGATATACTGTTATTTCCCCATAAGTACTTAAAAAGTTATTCAGAAACATCAACCTCTTCCTTCCATCATGCATCAATCCCACCAATCCCAATAAAAGGTTTTGAAAAAGCTACATTGTACTCATCTTTTCTTACTCCAAACATCATATTTCAGACACAAAGAACAGATTAACAGGAAATGCATGGGCAGCATACATTGTCAATGCAACAGGATCTAACAAAGACTCCAAATTTCCGAGGCTGCAGAAATGGAAGCTCATTAGATTTTCAAATACTTTATACAAAATAAAATCCATCTTGTCAAATGTAATATTCCTAAATAAAATGAGATTAGTCTCAACTCAGTTCCACATGGTATTGCTTTGTATGAGCTTACAAAGATTACCAATTGTTTGACATTAACTGACTCAAGAGATGCTGCAGATATAGGTGACAACTGAACACAAGGGAACAAACAGCCATGATGCTGGAGGTACTGAGGTTGAGACAAAGAAGAGACAGGTTTACTCTGGACCAGAACTTGTGTCCACTGCACAACTGCCTGGTTTGGTCACTGGATGCAATGAGGTGTAAATGTGTTTAACTTGCCAGCAAGCAAATCTATTCATTCAAATCTCTTGATTTGTTGAAAGAAGTGCAACAACAAGAGCAACTAAGGACAGGCAATAAAGTGGGGAGTGCAGGCTCATAGTTCCTTGAAAATGGAATCGCAGGTAGATAGGATAGTGAAGGTGGCATTTGGTATGCTTGCCTTTATTGGACTGTGTGTTGAGTACAAGATTGGATAGGTCATGTTGTGGCTGTACAGGACACTAGTTAGGCCACTTTTGGAATACTGTCTGCAAGTCTGGTAACCCTGCTATAGGAAGGATGCCGTGAAACTTGAAAGGGCTCAGAAAAGACATACAAGGATGTTGCTGTGATTGGAGGGTTTGAGCTACAGGGAGAGGGTGAATAGGTTGGGGCTGTTTCCTCTGGAGCATCAAATGAGCTGGCAGAGGAAGTGGAGGAGACTGGCACAATTACAACATTTATTTGTTATCTGGATGGGTTTAGAGGTAAATGTGCCAAATGCTGACAAATGGGACTAGATTCATCTAGGATATCTGGTTGGCATGGACAAGTTGGACTGAAAGGTTTGTTTCCATGCTTTATGTTTCTATGACTCTGACTGTAAATGCTGGCCTGCCACCAATGTCCATTACCCACGAGTGAATTAACACAGCTATAAATGGTGGTGAGGACTTGGCAAACTTTGCAAAATTTATTCCACACAGTATCAAGCTGAAGCTTGCCCTCAATTAATGTAAGAAGTTTATATTTGATAAGATGGCTTTCTAAATAAAATTTGAAACTACAACAGGTTTCAAATCATCATGAGGGAAATTAAACACTTGTCTATGTATGCCAAGGGACACCATCAAGCACTCTCAGGTCAGATAAAACAATGATCAAGTGCCACGCAGACTTCTCCAACATTATCTGGTGACTGTTACATATTACTAACTTTCTCTGCTGGACTGTCAATTATCTTTAGAATCATGGAGTACGGGGTGTTATTTCCAAATGATTATAACAATTTTTTTTACATAATTGAATTTACTTAGCCAAACTGGATAACTGATGCATTTCCAAAAATAACAAGATAATTAGCAGTTTAATAAAAAGAAAATTTCAGGAAAACATCAAAATCCTGTAATCAAATCTGGAAATAAGACTCTCTTGAAAATTGTGAAAGATGTAATTTATTTGAAGGCACATAATCCCTAATTTACAACAAATTACCCCTTACCTCACCAGTCTCGTTTAATGATTTTACTTTGTATGTTTGCTGCTCCCCACCACAAATCATAAAGCAGAACTGTGGCAAAAGGTATTCCAAATACACTTTGAAGCTTTAAGGGAAAAAAAACTCTACACAATACGCCATTTCCAAACTAGAATGCAGCTTAGTCATCATCCGCAACTTACCATTACTGCTTAAAACTGACTGGTGAAAACTTTGCTAAGAATGGGAGGAAGAGATTGACAAAATGCAAACAGAACCAGTATTAGCTCCATCTTCAATTGACATCTTGAAAACACTAGCCTCCTCATAGGCTGCTTGAAACTGGAAGGGCAAGCAGAAGTGAGTATGTTCCATTTTGCAATCTTTCTGATTATAATTCTTTTTAAAATAATTCCAGGATGATTTATCACCTTCCACTAATCTGAGAATCAGGATAGCTTGACACGTTTGGTGATTGCACAGTGGAATCTATTTAAATTTTACATCCCCACTTTGCTACAGAACTGGCAAGTCTGATTTAAGGTTAAGTAAATCTTTCTTTCATGGTTTCCAGCATTAGACTGAAAGTACCTGCCCCATTTATATGATATACCTAGTGTGAAATCACATAACTTTACCCTGAACACCAGTATTGTGTTGACCAACTAATTGGCTAGGAAACACAGGAAAGGTTTTTGTAGCTCTGAAAAGAGCCCAAATGGGAGGATAGCAATTTAAAGTTTTAATACATCATCAGGGTTCAAAGCCATGCTTGCACATTGTGACAAAAGTACCATCACTATTCCTTGAATTTGGGTGGAGTTAAGGGAATGACATTACTCATGCATCACCTCAAAGTCAAGCACCGTAAAAGGTATTAAACATTTTAAAAGGACACCAGAAAGGAATTGACCCAATGTTATCATTTACAAAATCAGCTTTGTCAGTCCAGCTTTGAAAGGGGTTTCACTGGAGAATAAAAGATGCTTTGAGAGAATGCTTCATATGTGACTGGATGTCCAAATCACTAGAGTAACTGCTAGTGACAATGTTATTGCTAGAAATAATTTTCCATAACTCAGTTTCTCAGTCAGGATGGATCTGAAAATGTCTAGTGAAAATTCAAGTAGTTCTGCATCCACCTACTCCTTTGAACAGCAAATTAATTTACTTAGTGACTATCTTGCCTGTAAATAAGATTTGTAAGAAAGAGTTATCAAGAAAAAAAGATAATGGCATAATCAGATGATTTAAGATTGAATATTAATGGGGTCACTCCTCAAAGATATTGCAGTGCCAGAGTCCCACATTATTAACACCCGCATGCACACTAATTGTGTGTTCTGGATTCTGAAAAGAGCAAAGTATGGCTACCTTTGCTTGTTTGTATGTGTTAACCAGAGGTCAACTCAAATCAACTTATAACAACTTTAACTATGAAAATACCAGCTGAAAACTTGCAGCAAGTGCTCTATAGTTTTTGCAAAAGTATAAATTTTTTAATCTGAGCTTTTCCCAACATTTTTAATAGAACAGAAGCTTAACATCAAGTAACTGGTCATAAGTCTAACTCTTAATTTTTAAGAACATGGCTTTGAAACTCAGCCAGAAATGACTAACCATTGTGACTACTCATGCTTACAGGAGTAATAGAACTCTTTATAGTTCAGTGGGGTAACAATTAAAAAAGGACAACAGAACGTATATTACAAACTGAACAGAATTCCCATTCTAATATGCAATATGGACTTTAAAAAGTAAAAGGTGAAAATTGGTAAAAAAATTATGCAAGACCTAGAATGCAGCATTATTTTGTATTTTTGTGTTGAACGTTACCCAAAAAAAAAGAAAAAGAGGAAGAATTTAGTATGGAGGAAAAGTTGATATTAACATCTGAATCAATTTTTCATTCAATTTGTATTGTACAACTTATATTATAAAACTAAACCAGATCAGACATCTTCAGATACATCAATCGCTTATGATATCAAAGTATTACAAATGCCCAAAAGGCAGCCACGACTCCCTTAAAATATGCTGCTCCTGATGCTCGCCTTATACTCTACCTCCAGCATCACCACACATATTTGCTTCACACACTGGATGATAGCATCTGGCATCCCAGAGATTGTCACAGCACGCTCAGTGGAATTGGGCAGCATATCCCCTGCCACCTGGACTTGAGCCCCTGTTGACTGCAATGAACAAAAAAATGCATGGGTTAAAGCCACAGATGTGGTGCCAGAATCTGAAAGAATAATAATAATTATTCTACTATAATGTGCATTTGGAAGTCCTTTTTGTCAGCTTAATGAAACATGCCTGCATCGTGTTGACGACACATTTCAATAAGTCCGTACACCTCAATATGCAGATGGCCAACATTTCAAAATATAGGGAGAAGACAGCACAATTTGTTCTAATCCGAAATAAAGTGATAATAAATGCATTACAAATCTTAAAGAATTTAATGTGCTTCCTCAATCACAAGATAATTATGTTTATATTGCGTAAATTACATACAAATTCCAATCAGTTAGGAATTTATTAGTGACATATCAATTATTTTTCAATGAATACAGCAGCTAATTCCATTACATCATGACCAAGATGATGTCTGATCATGTTAGTCTGACAGTTGCTGTTTGAACATGATGCTGTGCAAGCATCCCGTGCTGAAGTTCACTTGCAACAGTTTGTAGACTGCTCTCCAAGGCTTGGCAGGACTTTAGAATGACAATGAGCGTCAGGAAGACCAGTGCGATAGGCCACCTTCCATCAACATACACAACCTCACTGAAGGTTGTCACAAGCTTCACGTTCGATGGATCAACAATCACTAGCAACATGTCTCTAGACACCAAAATTAGGACCAGGGCTGCCAAGGCCACAGCTGTAACATCAACACTGATGAGTGTGGGCCAACAGCAACCTATATGAAAATACCAAGATGCGCATGAATTAAGTTTGTTCTCAACATTCTCCATTACTTTAATGAAGCATAGACAACTTATGCAAACCAGGAAAGGTAGCTTTCACCTCTGTTGCGAGACAAATTTTGGGGACTTTCTGGCAGATATGCAAATACTTCAACACATGGCGATCTCCAGCATGTTTTGTCTTTGTCAGTAAATGCCTCTATTGGCTGGGTGATGTGAACCAAATAGGTGACAGACATGTTCTCCAAGACAAGCTGAGCAGAGAGTTTACACTGGCACTAAACCAACAGATCACCTGTATCTGCAATGCAAGAATATCAGCAGGAGACACCTCAAGGCGACCAGACCAGAATCCGTATATGGGAAGAACTTGTTGACCAGAGTGCCCAGAAATGAAGGCAGGAAAAGCATGGAAAAAGACAATGTGAAAAAGCAGGAAAGACATCTTTATGGGAGGGCATAACAGCCATTTGGGCCAATGCTGTTCACTTGTGCCAGTCATTCAAAAGTCAGCCATGACAGGCAATGGTCAATACTTAGGCCCTTGGTGCAGTCCACTGCCTCCTGAAATGAACAAATGCCTTACACTACAAAAATGAATCTTAAAATAGTTTATAAACCAAATCTACTCAAATTACCAGAATTTGAAAGCAATCCAGTCTGGTCTTATCACGATTGAGCAGCTGGCTCTTGCACTGGGATAAGACTTTATGATTAAGGTTAATGTAATTTCACTGACATGAAACTCACTTGCAGTGAATTAAGAAAGTGTTCTTGTTACCTTAGGAGCCAAAAAAGTAGTGGGCAGTGGAATAATGTCTGCCTGCAGATGTTAAACCATCCATTAATATAGCTGGTCTCATACTTTAGCATCATCCCGAATCATTCACTATCTTAGTTATGACATCTGTAGCTCTAACAGCAAAAATGGCAGCACTGCATTCCTTTGGTTTCCAGCCACAATTTCTCAAAGTTAGGACTTGGGTCCTTGGAACCAGGCCATTATCTGCAGCAGGAGCTTGAAAACATGTTAGCATTTATAGGGAGTGCCTCAAGGAAAATGATTGAAAATTACTGTTTTCGTGACACAATTAAGGACTTCAATTATATGGAGCTACAAAAAAAAAACTGGAATTATTCTATTTTGAACAGAGAAGGCTAAAGGAAGATTTAATATATGTATCAAACCCTATTAAATGGAGAGGTTTGCTAAATCAAAAGAGGAGCAATTGTTTAAACAATCAGAAAAGTCAATAAACAGAAAACACAAGAATCCAAGGGCAGATGAGATTTTATTTTACTAAGTTACGATAGGTGGAAGTAGATTCAGTGGTATTTTTCAAAAGGGAATTGGTTATTTATTTGAAAGAGGAAGGAAGAACAACAACAAAGTGGAGGTGAGTAAAATCAATTTAGTTAGCCCATTCAAAGATGCAAGACAGGCACAATGCCTTCCTGCTGTCTAGTAAGATTCTGAGCTGTCTTTGTTCGTCATCTCTGACTGCAATCAGCTTGTATGTCACTGTACCTTCATAAAAGGGAAAAAAAATGGTGCACACAGTAGCTCTCAAAATAGGGCATCTCAGAGCCCAGTAAAAATCTCGCTACCCAGTGCCACTGTTGGCAGGTGAGGCCAGATCATAAGGCAACTCAGACTGCAAACTAATTGACCATTTGTTTGAATGTTGGCATGGCATTAGCTGCAATGACAACTATGCATCCTGTTAAAATTTAACAGATTTAACATCTGAAAGACAACATTCTACCAGACCAACCAAATGCAAGTGGAGCGAAAAGCTGACCTCACGAATTTCTTTGATCTTGGAACCCCCTTTGCCAATCAGTGATCCGCACTGACTGGCTGGCACCACAAGCCGCAGGGTTACAGGTGGTTTACTGGTGGCTGTACTATTCGACATTGAGTTATCGATGTCCTGAAATTGTGAACAAATAGTTTTGGTTATGGACTGTATTATCCCAGAAGACATTTCTCAGAGAGGAAGGGAATAAGCCAACCACGGTTAACCAGGGAAGTTACGAATAATAACAAATTAAAAGAAAAAAATCTGGCAAAGACTAGTCGTAAACCAGAGGATTGGGAAGGTTTTAAGAACCAAAATGCACTGGGTAGTAAACTTTCAAGAATCCTTAGATTCTGGAAAAGTCCTGGTGAATTGCATAACTAGGGCTGCAGATAGGACTTTAAAACTAAACAGTGGTTTTTTAGGTGGGGGGGTGTAAGGTTCAATTGTGTGGAAAATCAGAAAATCAAAGTTGAGAAGGTAGGGGTGCAGTTTAACAATGAAGTTGATTGTTACCTGAAAATAAAAACAGGACAATGCATGAAGCAAAGAAATCATATAATAGTGGAGAAATTTGATAATAGAACAAACATAAAGGCTTTGTATCTGAATGCACAAAGCACCTGGAATAAAATTAATGAGTTAACAGCGCAAATAGAGATGAATGGGTAAGATTTGGCAGCAATTACCAATTTTGGTAGGCATGGTTCCAGGGAGAACAGTTTCGGGAACTGAACATCCAAGGGTACTCCGTGCTGTTTTGGAAGGATAGGTAGGAAGGAAATGGTGGTGGCACAGTTTTGTTAGTAAAGGATGATATGAATACTGTAGTGAGAAATATCAGTACCAAGTTCAAGACATCGAATCACTGGGGGTAGAAATAAGAAATAGCAAGGGAAAGAGGTCCCTGGTGGATAATCTGTAGGTTCCCTAACAGTAGCACCACTGTGCGGTACAGTACAAACCAGGAAATGCTACAGGGATTTGTAAGAAAAGATACGGCAATAATTTTGGGTGATTTTAATGTGCGCATAAACTGGATTAAGCATATTAGCATAGCCAGCCTTGAGGGAAAGTTCATTAAATGTATTAAAGATTGTTTCTTGGGGCAGTGTGTTTTGGAGCCAACCAGGGAGCAGGCTGTTCTCTATTTGGAATTGTGCAGAGATGGGATTAATGAATGATCTCACAGTAAAGGTTCTGCCAGAGAAGGGTGATTATAGAATGCTAGAATTTCAAATTCAATTGAAGGGCAAGAAACTGGGGTCCCACAATAGCATTCTGAAGTTAAACATAAGTAATTCCATTGGTAAGAGGAAAGCTTTGGCCATAGTGGATCAGACAGGAAGTCAAAAGGTAGGACAGCTGATGAGCAGTGGCAGAAATTTAAGGAGATATGCAACTGCTCCCAACTAATGCACAAAAGGAACAGGAGAGTCCTAGTTCAGGATTCTCTCAAGGTTAACATGCAGGTTCAGTTGGCATTTAGGAAGGCAAATGCAATCTTAGTATTCATTTCGACAGGGCTAGAATACAAGAGCAGGATTGCACTGCTGAGACTGTATAAGGTTCTGGTCAGACTGCATTTGAAATATTGACAGTAGTTTGGACCCTAAATCTAAGGAAGCATGTACTAGTCTTGGAGGTGGTTCAGAGGAGGTTTACAAGAATGATCCTAGGGATGAAGGGTTTGACAAATGAGGAGCAGCTGAGGATTCTGGGACTGTACTCAATAGAGTTTAGCAGGACGAAGGTGAAATCTCATTGAAACTTCAAATACTGAGGGGCCTGGATACAGTGTACATGGAGATGATGGTTCCACTAGGAGAGACGAGGACCTGAAGGCACAGCCTCAGAGAGTGAAGGGATGATCCTTCAGAATTAAGAGGAGGAGGAATTTCTTCAGCCGGGGGTGGTGAACCTATGGAACTCACTATCATAGAAGACTGTGGAGGCCAAGTCATTGAGCGTATTTAAGACAGAGATAGATAGGTTCTTGGTTAGTAAGGGGATCAACATTTATGGGGAGAAGGCAGGAGAAGGGGAAGAGCAGACTCTAAGGCCTGAATGGCCTAATTCTGCTCCCACTTGTGTTTGGAATGCAACAGGCGAACTGGTGGCACAAATAGAAGTAATTTGATATGATTTTATAGCCATTATGGAGATTATGGTTACAAAGGAAATTATAAGTGGTAGATACAGGTGCGGTTACATCATTTAAAAGACATTTAGACAGGTACATGAATAGGAAAGGTTGAGGGATATGGGCCAAACGCAGGCAAGTGGGACTAGCTTAGTTTGGGAAACGACTTGGACTGAAAAGTCTGTTTCTGTGCTGTATGACTCAAATATGTTCCAGAAAGATTGTAAGAGGGGGAAAAACATCCATGGTTAAGCTAGGAAGTTAAAGGTAATATTAAGACAAAAACTAATATGTACCACATTACAAAGGTGAATGGCAGGCTAGAAGATTGAGCTTTAAAAGTTTCTCTAAAGTTACTCAAACCACAACAAAAAGAGCAAAGATAAATTATGAAAGAAAACTAGCGCAAAATATAAAACGGAGAGCAAAAGCTTCTAGGCAGGTAAAAGGGAAGGGATGATTAAACGGAATACTGGTCCCTTGGAGGATGAGACTAAGGAGTTAATAATGAGGAAGACAAATGGTGGAGTCACTAACTCAATATTTTTCTTCTGTTTTTAAGTGGAGGAGGACACTAATGCCATCCCAACAGTAACAGGTAACACAGATTATGGAGAGGGAAGAATGTGGAACAATTACTAGGGGAAAAAGTACTCAACCACCTATTGGGATTGATGGCGGACAAGTCCCCAGGGCTTGACAGAGTCTAGATCCTAAGGTCTTAAAAGGAAGTGGCAGCAAAGATAGCAGATCCATTGGTTATAATACTCCAAAATTCCCTGGATGCAGGAAAGGTTCCAGTGGATTGTAAAAATGCTAATATAACACCCTTATTCAAAAGGGAAGGGAGGCAGAAAGTAGGAAACTATAGACCACTTAGTTTAACATGCATCATTGGAAAATTGTTAGACTCTTAAGAAAGTAACAATAAAACATTTGGAAAGCCAACACACAATCTAGAGGCAGCATGGACTTATGAAAGGTAAATAGTGTTTGACTGATTTGCTGCAGTTCTTCAAAGACGTAACAATGCGGACGATGGGAATCCTGTAATCATAGTATATCTGGACTTCAGAAGGCACCTGATAAGGTGCCATATAAAAGGTTAATACACCAGTTAAGAACACATGGGGTTGGGGAAATTTATCAGCTTAGACAGATGATTGGCTAACCAACAGAAATAGAGTTGAGATAAACGGGTCTTTTTCTGGTTGGCAAGACACAACTAGTGAACTAACGCAGGATTTGGTCCTCAGACCCCAACTATTTACAATCTGTATTTAGGATTTGGATGTGGGGATAGAAAGTACTACAATCAAATTTGCAGTCAACACTAAAATAGGTGGGAAAGTAAGTTGCAATGAAGTAGTAAGAAATTTACAAATGGATATGGACAGGTTAGGTGAATGGGCCAAAGTTTACTGGATTAGTTTAACATGGATAAGTGAGATATTATCCATTTTGGTTGCAGGAACGGAATGGCAACTTATTCTCTAAACACAAACTTCAACATGCTTCGGTACACAGGGATTGGTGTATCCTTGTGAATGAACCACAGAAAACTATTAATCAGGTATAGTAGGTAACAAGGAAGGCAAATGGAATTTTGGCATTTATTGCCAAAGGAATAGAGTATAAAAGGAAAGTGTTGCTGCAACTGTACAATGCATTAGTGAGAATACACCTTGAGTATTGCTTACAATTTTGGTCCACTTACCTGGAGGACATAGTTGCACCAGAAGCAGTTCAGAGGTGGTTTACAAGATTGATTAGTTCAGGCTTATACAAGTTTAAAATGAGGAGAGATCGAATTTATGTATAAAAAGATGATAAAAGGGATGGACAAAGCAGACAAGGAGAGGATAATTCCTCAAGTGGGGCAATCTAGAACATTAGTTTTGGGATAAGGGGTAGCAAATTTAAAACAAAATGAGGAAAAACTACTTGTCCAAAGGGTTGTGAATCTGTGGAATTCACTAACCCAGAATGTGGTGGATGCTGGGACTCAATAAATTTGAGGCAATGGACAGATTTTTAAACTCGTAACAGGTAGATGTGTTATGGAGAACAAACAGGAAAGCGGAGTTAGGGCAGAGATGAGATCAGCCATGACCATATTAAATGTCAGAGCAGGTTCAAGGGGCTGAATTACTTCCTGTTGCTCCCAATTCTTATGCTTTTACCAGATCAGTCACGATCTCACTGATTGGTGGGCTGAATACCCTACTTTTGCTCTTATACCTACGGTCTTACCCCAAATTATCTTGCCCAACAATTAATTTTTTGTACTAAATCTTAGATGTGATCTTTAGAAGTTTGCAGCATTTAAACACATCTTGTTCTTTAACTATTAACTCAAATTTCATAGCGTAGAAACTGTCAGGGGTAATGGGGATATATTAGTTTAATCCTCAGTTTAAAAAAGGGTAGAGGTAATTGAAATGCATGTTAATGTAGTTGGTAGAAACGCATGTATATTGCCACACTCTTCACAAACCAAAGAATCATTTTTAAGAGAACTTGGCTAACAGTTTTTAATTTCACATAATAGCACTGGTTTTAGTTTTGAACTCTATAGTTCAAATGCACTAAGTGCACACTCCTGTCAACTGCAGCAAAACTAAATCACAAGTGACAAACCTGCGCATGCTACAGTAGTTCACTTTGAAGGATGGGTCTAGTTCCAATTGCACTAATCCACGTCTTACCTCCTCAAATTTAAAAGCGATCATTGCAAATGCCTTGAATATTGCATCAGTTGGACCTGTGATGGTTACAATTCTCTCGGGACAATTTCCTTCAGAGATATTAATGCGTGCACCACTCTGAAACAGCCACAAGATGTCCAAGTTACAGCAGGAAATCCGATCCATACTCCTTGACAAAGGTACATAACTCAAATGGAAGATCATAGTGAAAATTCACTTACCTCCTCGCGCATTTTCTTCACAGTTTCACCTTTCTGAAAGCAGAGAGATACAAAGCATGTAAACTACTCACTTACATTGTTGCACACCATCCTATCATCTATCCATCTGGTAGCACTGGCTACAGACAATATTAAGTCAAGGCATAAAGTTTAAAATAATGTTGCACAACATCTTATCCTTGGAAACAGCGCAAGACTGTAAGCTTGCAATTATATGGTATGAAGTCTGTGGCTGTGGCAATTGTGCACAACAGGTACAAACTAGTTAACCAAACATTATTCAAGCCATAAAGAAAAACATATTAGAAAGGCTCCTCCCGAAAAAACGTGGCAATCACAAAAAATTAATTTTATGAAAACCACAAGACTTCAGCCACAAACATATCAGAATGGTCAGCTGAAATATCTATGCATTCACTATCAATTTTCAAATTTTGGAAATGTGATTTCATAATTACATTCACAAGTGCGAGATCAGCAAGTACAAAGTAAAATAAATACCTTTCCAATGATGCTTCCAACTTCCTGTAAGAATCAAAGGGGGAAAAAAACAGTGATGCTTATCCTGTAGATCAATTCCTCTAATACAGCACTACACTCATCCACAAATTTCTTGTGGCACATTCAAACAGACTTCAAGCTGTTTTCAATAAATGCTTTAACTGCCACTTTAAAATATTGCAGAAACCAAATTTATTGAATATTAATCAACACCCTACTCAAACCTAAAACTTCAAGCTACTAAATTCAATTGATATTTGAATGACTAGGTTAAATTATGATAGTTCAATGGATTTGAGAAAGAAATAAACCCTGTTAGACAAATATTTAAAAAGGAACCATAATACAGTTTCAAAAGCAAAACAGATTTGTTAATTTTCACCTTCCTGCAAATGTCAAGGGACATGATCATACAGGAAGATGTGGGGAGTAGCATTAATGAAGGTGGGAAGGAAAATAGAGCACGCAAAGATTTGGGTTGGGGGGTAAGGGGGTGCTTTCGGATTGGTATAGAAACAAGAAAGCATGTGACAGATGGGTGAGACTCAGCACTGAGATACCAGAACTAACCTTCAAAGAAATGAGCCAGGGAAAAATGCCCAGAATGACAAGTGTATGGATAGCAGTAAACAGAGAGCATGCAGTGATATAACCAGAAACTTACAGTGAGAGGGGAATAGTAGAGGTGAGTCACTAAATCATTGCTGCTCTACTTCATGCAGAAGGGTCAATTTGAATGAAGATTAACAGAAGTCTGGAAAAATGTTCTTTTTTATTAGCATTTCCTATCAACTGAAAATACTACAGAATACTTAGACAAAATTATTTAAGTAAAGTTGATCAGCAACCAACTGGCAAAAGCAGCACAGCAGGTCTAACTGTTAAACAGTGCTTAAAAGGAGAAAGCAGAGATAATATCTGGCAAGATCATTTCCTACTTTGAAATTTCAGGTTACATCACCTTCAAATGAGAGGCAGGCAGACGAGAGTTCCTCCCCTCTGCCACTTGCCTTTAGTAATTACCACAGTTACGTTCTAACACTCTTGCCAGGTCCTGTGTTAAAGGTTCTTAGTTCCAAGTAGATCATTGTATTCAGCAATCCTTGTTTTAGGCTAATAGAGAAAGACAATGCTAAAGTGGCAATCAACTTGGCTTAGTCAAGACTACAGGGGATAAGATATAATTTGGCCAAATCTTACAATCTCAGTAACAAAAACAAATTGCTGGAAAAGCTCAGCAGGTCTAGTCGCATCTGTGAAGAGAAATCAGAGTTAACTGAGGTCTGAGGAAGGGTCACCGGACCCAAAACATTAACAGATTTCTCTTCACATTGCTGCCAGACCTGCTGAGCTCTTCCAGCAACTTCTGTTTTTGTGTTGGTTATGATCATAGCCACTACTTCCAATCTTGATCAGACAAAAAAGTCAACTTATTTTCTCAGATTTTTCTGGACATTCTTCTGGTGGAGGATCTTTCAAATTTAGCCAGCACATGAATCCTTAAAGAAATCAGCAAAACAAATCCATGTAGAAGGCATGCTTTTGTTTTAAAAGCATCAATAGCTGTTGTATTCTGGTAGAGTTTAAATGTGCCAAACCATCTTTGGAAATTACAGACAAAGGCATGTGGTTGAGAGTGTAGGATGGCAATTGGCGAGTGGTCGTCAGGTCAGGATGATGTCTTGGGTTTGGAGGGAGCAGGGGCAGGGAGAATTGGATAGTTAGGTCTCTAGCTGTCTGGAGATTAAGACCTAAGCCAATATCTAACAGAACTGCATTAGACCTCCGAAAGAACGGAGTACAGAGAGAAAATGCCATTTCCCTACTTAACCTTCGCCAATTTGGACAACACGAAAGCATTTAAAATGGTGATATTTTACAATTGCTTTATTGCATTTGTTCCTCTTCAAATGTTTAGCTTGCTCAATTCTTTCATTTTACAAGTTAACATTTGCCATATGAGCAATTGGTGATTAGATTAGTGTTACACCTTCACCAAACAGAATTAAAGCAAGCCAAGAGAAAATTAACACCAAGGGTCTCATCTGACACCAGAGGAATTCTTTTAAGATTACACAAATCAACCATATAATTAACTAATATAAATTTTGCCTAACAGGAAACAGGTTTGTGATGAGCCGTAATGCAATACATATTCTGGTTGATTGTTGAGCTGTGGCCAGAATTCAATTTATTATTTTCAAGAAATGCATTCATTTCAACCATGTTCGTGTTGTGAAAGTGACAGCCAGTGAACCTATTTGACAATTCAGTCACAACAATTATTTGTCAACAAAATAACATGTGCAAGTTGGAATATAAAGTCCCAGTAAACACAAGTTCTGCGTGGCATCCCTTCCCAAATAAATTAGGAGCCCGACTCTTGACCAACTCTTCTCATTGATTAGCATCAACCTGAATTTTACATCACTTCATCTTAAATGGCTTAAGCCAAGATAACTCAAAATTTAAATCATTACTGGCAGCAATCACCAGCAATACAAACATTATTGCATTCCTCCTTGTAATAGTCAAACTGAATACTTACCTTCCCATGCATCAGCAGTCGGATGGTAAGGGTAACATTCAGCCCACCTTCGGTAACTTTAGGGTCCATGGTGGTTGTAGTATCACTGTTGCTTGTTTACTATCAAGGATTCCTCAGGGATAGTGTATTCGGGTGGTGATGTGCCTGTACTAAAACACAGGGAAAATTGTATTCAAGAAAGAAAAACCACCTGCAAGACAGTATGAATTATAAATCACAAGACACACTGACAATATGTACCTAGAAAGGCCTTCAGGGAATGCATGCTAATTCTATCTCACTGGTCTAACAACCTAACATTCTGCTTGGGATATTTTTAATTTCAGGATGCTTCTAAACAGCAGCCATAAGTCAACTTTTTAAAAAAAAATCAGGGTATACAAATCCACACGTTCATTTCAAGGAAGTTTCCATTCAAAAAAAAGGGACATATACAATTATACAAGGCTCTTCCATGACAATACTACACACTAAAACCTTAAACTCCAACCTCAGTTTGTGGTGCAAGTCACATGATGGCAAGAATACGCAGCAGAAACGTTCAAAATGGAAACAAGTTAAACTAACAGATTATCCGTACTCCGAGGTCTGGAGCAAGTTTCAAACAGTATGACCCAGAATAATGCAAAAAAAATCTGCATAAACCAGGTCCAATGATTTCAGGTTTTCTAATTCAATTTAGTGACTAATTTTATATTCCAAATGTAGTATGCAGATGTTAGCAGTGCAGATGAACTACTGTTATTCTTCAGCTAAAAATCCAATTACAACCATCAGTTAATGGCCTCTAGCCATAGGCACCTACAACATACCTACAAGATGCATTCCTTTTCAAATAAATTAGCAACCCGACTCTTGTCCAACATCCCAATAATGTGTGGCAGTAACTGCACACATGGTCTTTGAGTGACAACAGCATCCTGTTAGTTAAGTCACGGCTGGCAAATAAAATACTCAAACAATTTTTGACCTTAAATTGTAGAATGGTCACAAAGAACAAAATGTTATTGGATTGCTGCCCCCATCATGAATCACTGCTTTCAAAGCCAGAAAAGGAAAATAATTCAAAAAGATTCTTCACACAGGTTAATTTTAACTTGTAGAAACAAAACGCAACAGATTTGGTTATGACAAAGCCACACCTCCAAGAGCTGCAGCTTGCGTGTGCAGCTTTGGCTGCAGGAATCCATGCTATTGGACTAGCATGTGCACAAGGTCAAAAGAGTACTAAGAATGGGCCAAGGGACGCACAATGGGGAAGCCAATGGGTGCTGCTCAAAAAGGTTAGGGTGCTGGGAATTACAGCACCAGGTTTGGACCCTATGTGTCACTTCTCTGCTCACTCACATCTGAGCAAGGCGGAGATATCCTGGTCAGGGGAAAGGTGGAACAAGAGTGGATGGGAGTGTCTTAATTGGAGAGAAGGCATGATTAAGTGAATGGAAGCTAAGCAGGGAAGGAGGACAAGGGTGTAGGATGTGAGCGAGTGGAGATGGGAGGCAAGTCATTAATAAGTGGGAATGGGACAGAGATAACGAAGACAGTGAGGGGACTAAATAGCAATGGAGTGCGTACAGGTGTGCACAACAGCAATGAAGTGTGCCTGTAAAGGCTGTACTTGCGTCTCGTGGCTCTTCAATATCTGAAGATTACTGTAGCATTTCTAAGGTTCATAACATTTAATGCATGCAATACAGAGTAACAAGAAGTCAGCCTAACAGTCACTTAGGCCACCAAAAGAATTGGTGCTGGGCAGTTTTTAACGCATGTTGAAAACCTTTTCGATCCTTCTCAGCAGCACCACAGCTTTGTCAACTTATGTTTGAGCTAAATCTACTAACGCATTAAATACATTCGCAGTACAGGTTTTCAGATTTATTATTTCCTATGCCCTCGTCAAAAAAGGCAGTTTGACCAAACTAATGCCAACATACTCACATCCATCACTTCTGTTCAGGCAAAATGTTTCCGTAAACTAACACCTTTTCATGTCCAGGATGAGTCAAAAATTGTAAACAGGAAGTTGCTGTTCAGAATGCTTATACATGGTTCATTTATGAACTGAACATAAGGATCACAGGATAACTGATCACAGAAGTTTGAAATTTTGGAATGATGCCTCAAGTGCTTCAAATGATATTTGACTAGAAGACAGGGGCAGGCTAACCTAATTGTACAGCTAGTTAACAATGCAGAAGGAAATCATTTCTTTTCAAATCAAAGCAACACCTTCACAAAACCGAACCCTTCCTTAACACAAATTATTGTGCAGCACATCTGGCATTAAAATTCATTTCCTGTTAGCGCACACATTTTACATCTGTTAAAAGCTTTATTAAGTCAAGGAAAGCAAAATTTTAAGTGAACATGCTAGCATGTTAACTTTTAGAAATTGTGTATTATTTTCATGCATCATTCTGACTGAAAATGTAATTAATTTGTTTTTAATTACAAGTTACGGCCATTTGAAACAATCATTGTTGATCGAGTGATAAATCCATTACGTTTAAAAAATGAATGTTTCTCTAATCAAACCACTCACTACTTCGTATACAAAGCATATTACCATTTAAAAATTTAAGTAGGAACAAAAATCGCCATTTAATTAACTGTCCTACAAAATCCAACCTGCTCTTTCCAATAATGTACATCATTCTAACGTAAAGATCAGGAGTCTTGGTTAATTCATAGATTTGATTCTTTTCTGAGATCATTTCTTTCTACTTTCAGCTCATGCAAGAATTTGAAAATTGCCTTACTGCTAACTTACTTTCAAGACTATATGGCACATATCCTGTTCTACTCAAGAGGATTAAAAAAAAAAAGAGTGCCACATACACTTCCTTAGCTGTTCGATGACTAGTTGTTCACAATCAAATTCCCTGCCCATTCTTTTTCAAATAGAATGCATGTAGTGAACTGTTTCAATAATGAATGTAACCTCATTTGCTTCTGCTAAAGAGCATGAATTCTCTAGAATTCAGCAGAATTCAGCATTTTTATATATTAAAACAAGGATTTTTTTTTGCATCAACATTTCCTTGAAGTGTGTAATAACGATCTACATGGACATGATACTTATAGGTGGGGATGCTAGAGCAAAGATGATATGTATATATAAATAGGACAGTTCTATTATTTCAACTGGCCCCAAAGCAGTCTCATTTGTGATCAAACATCTGGTCTAAATTTCAGATGGAGACTTGTAATATGGTAAATATATCTAGGATTGCAAAGAAATCTAACATTGATTGAATAGCCTTCTTGTCTGTTGCAAGCATTCTAAAATTAAAAAACCAATTTCAAAAATAGTTTGTACACGAACCAAAAGCATTCAGCTTATATTTGTTAGTTTACCTGTTTCAAAATGCAATCTTTTATGTTTCGGTGTCTGAACAATTTTTCTTTCCAAAAATGAAACCGATAACTCAAACACATATCCCCAGGCCCAAGGACCTGGAGTGAAAGTGCAGTGGGGATGGACTTAGAACTATAGTTCCAGACATACTCAAGGTCCTGAATATCAACGTGATCATTACAGGAACATTCCATAATTTATTGTAGAAAATGCTGTAGTACGTTTAAACCAGATTAATAGATTTAAAGATGCGCATTTGCAAACAGTGGCACTCAGCAGTCATTTATTTCCTCTGCCAGAGTTAAGCTGGAACCTTTTCCTTCACTTCATGATCGTACCCTTTACTTTTAATCAACCCTGATATAGTGCTTCTCCAGAAATTATGGTGAAGATTCTTGCTTTCATACAGCACTCCCCTGAGCAACAGCAATATAGCAGCTGTGATGGTATAAAAACTACAACTACAATTAACGTTCTATACTAGAAGGGACTAAAAGTGAAAAGAAAGTCTCAAAAGCATTCCTGCTCAAGTGATCACTTTTTATAGCTGCACCATAGAAAGCATCCCATCTGGATGCACTGCAGCTTGGTATGGTAACTGCTCTGCCCAAAACCACAAGAAATTAGAGTTGTGAACGCAACCCAGTCCATCACAAAACATTCACACCATCTATACTTCTCATGCCTCGGGAAAGTAGCAAATATAATCAAAGACTCCTCCCATCCCAGCTATACTCTCTTCCAACCCCTTTCATCAAACAGAAGATATAAACACGTGCCAACAGGTTCAAGAACAGCTTCTTCTCCACCGTTATCAGTCTTATGAATGGACCTCTTGTATATTAGAGCTGATGTTTCACTGCATCTTTTCTCTAGCTCTAACACTACATTCTGTATTCTATTATCCTGATGTACTTAAATTATGATTTGTCTTGGGTAGCATGCAAAACAATACTTTACAAATGTATATCAATACACATGACAATAATAAATCAAATCAAATCAAACAAAGTATAAAGCTCTCACTTTCATTCCATAGATCACAAAAGATTAATCAAAGTTACCCTAAAATGTGATTAATTTCATCGATTCTCAGAGTTTGAGCTCTCTTACCCTTGGTATTCCAACTCATTTTTTCTTTCTGGGGACATTTACAAAATGTTCTATGTCAAACTGCATCTGCTTATTACATTGTTACCAATAATCTTGTACATCAATTGATACAAAAAGCAAATACTAGTCATGGAAAAATGAACATTTACATTTCTTTCCTTATACCTTCCATTTCCACATATCTTGTTAGCTTCAATAGCAAATGTCCACATTCAACTATGACTATCAAGTCATTAGGATTACAGCCTCTATTGAAACTCACCAACATGTACTGTTAACAAGGATCCTAAAACTGCGCATCTCAATATTCGGAGTTGCTCCTCCCTGCTAAAAATTTCTCCAGTTAACTGTCTGGTTCCCAACATCTCCCACAACCGAACACAGCAAAATCAGTACAGATCAGACAGTTGTTGTTACCAAAATGTTCAACTTAAAAACATTACACTGCTCAACACTTGAAAGCACTTCCCCAAATACCAGTGCTGAAGTTGGATTAATGACAAATTTACATGGGATTCTTTAAGGTTTGGTATTAGCATAATAAAGGGAAACCTTCTTAGAATTACTACTTGGCACATGAAATTATAGAAGCACAAGAGGCTGCCATTTCAGGCTGTCATATCTGGATAGAACATTGCTAAATTCCATTTTAGAGTTACACATGGTAGCCTCTTATTC